GAGAGGGGGACAGTTTTTTCCCATTCAGAGCGTCGTCACTTCAACCCCGGAGCAGAGGGGTGAACAACCCTTGGAATTTTAATAGGGAATAGGGGGCGAGTCGTACATCGTTTGAAAGATCTGGGAATTCTCTAAACAATGGTGTACATTTTTTTAAATTTGGATGTATTTAAAAGAGTTCTTTCCGATAATTAACTTTTTCAATATTGTTAATAGCAAAAAATTGTTGTACGCCACTGCTCAGTTGGAATGTATTTGAAATTTTTTCATTTGTTTCTTACGCTAGTGTTTTGTTAATTTTTTAGTTCTTCTCTGATACGAGGACTATTACAATTGAGAAATGGTTGAATTGTTTCTATTTCTCATTTTTATGTTGAAAGTGATATCTACATTATTACTAGTGTGCCGTAAAGTGTTGCTAAAGAAACAATGGTTTACACAACTGCATAGAGACTTGAGTTGATTGAACTGTACTATGGAAATAGACGTGCTGCGAGAGCCGCTGAACTGTTCAATCAACAACATGGGAAGAATGTGTCACGACAGTATGTTTTCGATTTAATTGCAAAATTTCGCGCAACTGGATCTGTAGCAAATAAAAAACGGCAAATCGAACCACCAGTAACAAATGAGGCGACACAAGTGGCAATTCTGGGCCATGTTGAGCTTGACCATACTTTGAGCACAAGAAATTTAGTATATTTGTTTCCGGGGTGTCACGAACTAGCATATTCGGCGTATTTTAAAAACCCTCATAATGCTTTCTTTCAAGATTAAATTAACGCAAGAACTGAATGAAGATGATTTCGATCGACGCTTGCAATTTTACGAGTTAGTTAGTGAACGAGCGGTGAAAAATCCACATCTTGTTTTCAATATTTGTTTCAGTGATTAATGTTCTTTTTTTCTAAATGGCACAGTTAATCGCCATAATTGTCGCTATTGGGCTGATTCAAACCTCACATTTTTCATGAAGTGCATACTCAACGTCCACAAAAATTAAATGTATGGGCTGGAATTTTTGGTGAACGTATTGTTGTTGGCCCATTGTTTTTAGAAGACAATTTAACCGGACAAATGTATTTGGAGCTTCTGGAAGATACTATTAATCCCCCTTCTCACTGATATTATTGAAAATGACCACAATTATCGGGAGAATCTGTTAATATTTCAACAAAATGGAGCTCCTCCGCACTATGATCTGCCTGTTCGGCAGTATTTAGATCAGACTTTTCCGGATCACTGGATTTGGAGGCGAGGCACTATCGAATGACCACCACGATCACCAGACCTTTCGACGTTAGATTTCTTTCTGTGGGGTCATTTCAAAAGCAGAATTTACTGTACTCCTCCTGCATCACTCGAAGGTTTACGGCAACGAATCACAAATGAATGTCGCCAAATCACTCCAGAAATGCTCCACAATGTTTGAGAACGTTTCCAGCAGAATCTCTATTATTGCATGGAAGCTGGAGATGCCCATTTTGAGCATATGTCAACATGAGAATAAATTAAGTAACTTCAACTGTAAGTTTAATATGGTTCGTCCAAATTTAAAAAAATGTACCTACACCTACACCGTTGTTAAGAGAATTTCAAGATCTTTCAAATGATGTGCGGCTTGCCCCCAGTTCCCTATTACAATTCCTAGGGTTGTTCACCCCTCTGCTCCGGGGTTGAAGTGACGACGCTGTAAATCGTGAAAAAACTGTCCCCCTCCCAATAAAAATCTACCTGTCTGAGCGTTTTTTAGGTTTTGCAATATAAGTACTCAAAACCTCCATATCAAGTTTTCGATTGCCCACCCTCTATAGCTATGACACTGAAACCAAAGACCAATGGCCGGACGGAAGAGCCCAGAAGAGCCAAGACAAAAAAAACACGCCAAATTCGATCAAATGTCAAGGTTTTGCTCACTTCGGTTACCGTGGCGTAGTGCATCAGGAGTTCTTGCCAAATGGTCGTACGGTCAATAAGGACTATTATCTTGAAATTATGCACCGCTTGCGAGAAGCAATACGAAGAAAACGTCGGGTATTATACTTTATACTTTATTGTCTCAAGAAGGTATTCTTATTGACAAAGTTTACATAGCTAAGATATAAAATACATTTAAAAATATAGACTCATAAAAAACATCAAAACTGAAAACAACAGTAACAAATCTTTTATAGAAAAACAATTAATGGCTTTTGCGTCATGATAATGCACCTGACCAAACTTCATTGCTTTTTTGTAATTTTTTGACCAAAAACAACACTGTAATCGTGGCTCAGCCACCGTGTTCGTCAGATTTGGCTCCCTGCGACTTTTTCCTGTTCCCAAGATTGAAGAGACCCATGAATGGACGGCGTTTTGCGACGATTAAGGAGATAAAACCGAGTCGCTGAGAGACCTCAAGAACATACTGTTATAAATCATGCCCTAAAGATAATAACACCGGCCGCCACTGGTAGCCATAAATCAATTGTGACGTAGCTAAGAGCGCGCGAATGTACAGTGTTCGCTGCCGCTCTAGATGTAGCGAGAATAATGCTACGGTCTTCGATGGAATTCCGAGGAATGTTCCAGGGCCTTCGATTGGCAAATATAAGCGCCATCTACTCGCCAATCGAGACAGTCAAGTGGAAGTTGCAGTGCGGTACACGAAGCGATCTAGTAAGGCGACAGACATTCGAATAATAGTTGTAGTTTTAGTTGAAATGTTTATTGTATTTAAAGTGAAATAAAGTTAAGTGAGTTATTTGTTCAGTGTAGTCAATTATTGGTCAACCCACGGGGAAAAACGTAACGGTGGCACATCTGAGGAGGGATACTTTGAATGGGACAAAATAGAAATTGATGAATAAATACATTTTGAAAAAAATAAAAATTCACCTTATATTTTGATCAGCAGTACAGTGTGTGACAAAAATCTGTGTGGTGAAAATGGAGTTTACTTCTAAACTAAAACACACTTTATGAAACAAATAACGAATAGACTATTAAAGAGTTCAAGAGCGTAGTGAAAAGCGACGTGTGTAAGTCTAATTCCATTAAAATAATCGATAGTGAAATGACGGAGAGTCGTCATCACATTCGACTTTAAAAAAAAAGAAACACAAAAGCTGCAAAAACTATTCTTGATGATTTTTTATGAAGGACTTCTTCGTCGATATGTTAGTAACTTTTATGTACCGAGAAAAAGACATGACTTGGCGGCGAATACATAAAAATATTGTCAAAAATAATGAATACAAAGGATCTTACAAATCATTGAGGAAAGCATTGAGAGAAATGCGATTTAGATGGAAATTACTCAAATTTAAAATCCAGCACTTGGAGAGAAAATTTTTCAAAGATATAAAAAAAATATAGGTCGACCAATAATTTATATAGATGGAAAAGTGGATTGTGCTAGATATTATTTGAAATTCAAATCAAATACTAGATATAAGGTGTCTACCACAGTTAAATCCATTACAAAAATTACCAACAAGTAGTTGTGAGAAATGTTAATTCCCAATCCGTCTGAACAAAGTGTTCTGGTTACATGTAATGCTCCATAGGATAATGTGCAAAGTGAAAAATACCTCAACATGTCTCATGAAAAGAAGACAAGAAAGATCGGTTAAGACGACGCAATATTCAATTAACAGATGATATGCTCAAAATCGATCAATATTCTGTGTTAGAAATCTACAAACCATAACTCAAAGTAAGTATGTGACACCAATAGGATAATGAAAAATCATAGAAATACAGTAGTAACACTGTTTTCTTCTCATCCCATTTTAAACCCTATCACATTCGTGTAGTTATTACTAAACCAATATGTAGTCAATAAAAACTAAAAATTTCAATCAAGTGTGCTGAAAGCTTGTGCGACGAATTTTTACTATCACTTTCTGAGAAAGAATGGAAAAACAATGTGAACATGCTAAACTTTCAAGAGTTTAATTCCGCTCAAAATCCTGCTCTCGATTCAGCTATTAATAATATCATTATGAATTTAAAAAATGCTATTGACGCTGGCAGCTACATTGATGACAGCAGCGATGATTTTGATCTCTCAGGAATTCATCCTTTATAATGATATAAAATGAAACTAAATCTCAGTTCATTTCTTCATTTCTGAAATTCAATTGTGATCTTTTCTAGTTGAATAAAAAGAAAATTTCATAACCACTATTTCAATTCCTACCCATCTCTAATAAAGTTTTCAATACAAAAACATAAATTGCTTTTAGCAAACTCATTAAAATATAATTGTGAAGACATTAACTTGGTCCACTTAATCTGTATTTATTAGAAAGTATCTATTCAAGTTATTGTTCATATCCATTTAATTTCTGAGGAAATTGGGTATTTAAATATCTATGAAATAAAATATTAAAAATAGTTAATAAAATGACCTAACTCTGGCCCTTTGTTATTATAAATTTGTTGAGTATTTGAATATAATTTGTCTTCACAGATGACAACTTTCACAATAACAACTTTTCATATTCTGTTATTTATGAACACAACATATCTAAAAATCATCAAAATTCAGAACATGTGATTGCATTACTTGTGACAAAGATTGTACTTCTTAACAAGCACTAGTTTCCATCATCTGTTGTCCTAATACATTCTCAGTGAGGGTTGTCAGAATTCTCAAATCTCTTTCAAGATTTGATAACTTGTATTTATCTCAGCCATAAAAGTGAATATAGAGAAGAAAATCAAAAGTAAAATAAATATATACTCAATAAAAGTACAAAACACAGAATGTCATAAGTACCGCTCCCTAATTGCACACAAAATTCGTACCTTTTTTCTATTACTTGTGCTCAGGTGACAACTATATTACTAAAGTGCCTTATTGAGGTAGCGATAGACTTTATTAGTAATCTACATAAAAACAGACTCTTGATTTGCCCAGTGTCCAGATCTCTCATCAGTCATACCTCATTATGTATACAATATTTGAGCGAAACAACAAAATTTACAGTGGATTAGAAAAAACTGCTACAGAATAATTGATTACTTATATATTTTGAACATATGACAATAGATTTATATTTCAAATAAATGGAAATGTTAACACAGATTTTCAGACTTCTAATGTAAATGAACCCAACAAGCAAATTGCAGTGGAATATTGAAGAATCCAAAAAACTCAGTTACTGAAGAGTTAGAAATCACAATAAAAAATATTCTATTAAAAAATCAATATGGTCGGCAATAATATACTGCCTTCTTAGGTAAAATAAACTTAAAAACAACATCCATGTAAAAATACAATATCAGAAAACAGTTGGTGATAATAATATAAATGAAAAAAATCACTTATATAGAAAGTGCAAAGATTCTCCAGGATGGAAAGTTTTGATTCCCCTATCAAAGGCTTTAAACTGAAAATGGTTTTTGTTAGATCTCGTTTTCACTGTTAGCAAACCTGTGACATCTTGAGACTTTCCAGTCTTCAGAGCTGAAACTTCAATGTGTACATCTGCAACATATTCCATATTGTTTGAAATAATTTCATCATACTTTGAAGCTACATGATTATTCAAAATAACAGAAATGTTTTCATTGCTAATCAAATTCACAAGGTAATTAACGAAGTTCACTATTTGTGAATTTTCTATTCCCAAATCATGTAAATGACTGACATCATCTACTATTAAGTATGCCTGTTTTCCAGAATTCTCTGTCATTTCATCTAGATTTTTTTTTATATCAAAATAAAGGCACTTCACTATATTTTCCTTGTCATCTTGGAAATACCGTTCTTCCAATCCAATATCATCAACTATGTCATTCATAGGTTCAATAATTCTCATATCTCCATCTTGAACAGCTTTCAGTAAATCATAACCAAGTTTTTTTCCAACATTTTGATAGTGTTCAAAGGTGTTGTGAAAACTTACTAAACATAACCTGTTTTTCTCATAGAGTATTTGTTTTATCAAATGAGTTATAATGAAATTTGAGTCGGCTGTTGAATTTTCTCTAACAGCTATAATTCTGTCACTGAATCTTATCTGAAGTGCAGAAAGGACAGGATTTGATGTTCGTGGGTCTCCCAAGGAAATCATGGCACTATATTTTGACGGACACTGCAATAAAAGAAAATACTTTTTTTAGTATAGGTAAAACTAGGAGGGATTCATTTCATCTTTGAACCAAATTTGTAACCTGATGAGGTTGAAGAATTCAATTTGAAAGCAAAAACAAAAATTTTCTGAAATTTCATCACATGTTACTTCATTGATTTATAGAATGTTATCAAAGTAGCTCAACAATTATTCTTGAAGCAAAATATATTTGAAATTTGTTTTTCTGTTAACTAGCTGTTGCACCCCTACGAATGACAATCCTCAGAGGTTGAAACTTGTGCGAGCTAAGGACTAACGAAGTCTTACGTTTTAACGTGATTCCTAACACGGGTTAGATGGTGGCAAGTGAAAATCGATTGTTCAGCATGCGACTTGAACTACCGACTCACACATCGATCGATTGAGAAAGTGAACAAAGCACCCATGTCGACCGTCCGGCTACCGACCTTCAATAGTTTTAAAAAATCACTTTACATGACTTCATAGAAAAATTTGAATGATTCTTTTCAATCGAAGTCGAATCAAATTGCTAGGACAATTAGAACAATGAAAATCCAGTTATGAAATAAATTTGTTTAAATTTTTTTTTAAGTGTTTTATTAAATATCCTGTATATTTGATATACAGAGTGTTCCAGGATTGATATTACAAGAGGTGTAATGGACTAAACGTTTCTAAATTGTAGGTATTTAGAGATTGCGAAAAATTAATTTCAAGACTATTTTTACATTTTCAAAACAAAACGACCTCAACAGTGAAATGAAAGCTATTTTCTTTTCAGTAATTGTACCCTTTTTGTTCGTGATACATCAAAATGTTACTATGAAAAGTTGTTCAAGCTGAGAAATCATAACTCCATACAGAATTTCAGGATCATTCAATTGCTTTGAATAAAACGACATTTTTAAGAATAAAAATAAATTGTGTTCACTCAAAAATTAAAATCACAATGGAAAATAATGTAATTCCCTTACATGAAATATATTTATTCAAAGTGCCATTTTGCATCATCTACTATGAATTTGAGTAAATAAAATTTACCCACAAAGTAGCTAAATCTTCTCTAAACTTTCATAGAGCCATAATTTCTATACTGAACAACTTCTTTGTAACATTTAGATGAATCATAAACAAAGAGGGTAAAATTCCTGAAGAGATAATAATATTTGCTTCACTTTCAAAGCCAACATGTTTTCCAGAAACTGACAATGTTCTTAAAATTTGTTTCTCACGAGGCAGAGCTCAAACCCACACTCCCAAAATAAAATTAAAAAATTGTTAGTTTATTGCACCTCTTGTAACATCAATCAGGGACACTATGTACATAACCATTACACCATTACATCAAGATGGATAAAGGAAGTGCTGTCATGAAAGATAGATATTTATCAATAATTTATATTATCAAGTCTCTGGATAAAAGTCATAATCCAGAGCAAATATTTTATTGGAAAAGAATCAAAGATTTGACATTTTTACAGAACTTTCAAATAAATGCTCTCTGAATTGTACTCCTCACAACAGAATTTAAAATTTTTATGTTAATGTGAGCAATGATAAATATTTTTTTCAGTGGAAATATTCAAAGTGCTTAACAATAATTTGACCTCTGTCATTTGTAAGTTGGTCTATAAACATCAAGGCATATTAATCAGGGCCATATTTTTTATTTCATTATGGCGATATACCTACTGAATGTAGTACTCAAATACCACATTTACCAATACATGAAAATAAAACAACGCCTCTTAAAACAAAAACAGTTCACCCACCTGCCAATGTATACAGATTTACTTTTGATATATTTTAAGGTGAGTAATACTAAATTCAGCCCAGCTGAACAAGAGGACACGTTTTTTTTAACAACATAACCTAAGTTTATTGTGATTTGTGATGACTTATGAAGTTTGTTATGCGTTGCCTTTAAAGGATATGTTCACTATTGGTAGTTCTCCAGAAATCTAGAAATCAACAAGTCAGTATACAGGCGAGTTCTCAAATTCGATCTATCAGAAAATTTCTGATCGAAATAGAAATGCGCTACCATTTCTAATGGTCCAATAGATATATTCATTAGATCAATCGGGAAACTCATCGCTGGACTTAAGAATGTGTCTTTCGTTTGTGTTTGACATTTGAGATAAGGTAAATTTTCAAATTCATAGAAATATTTCCGATGTATTGCTTCAACTAATAGAAACGAGACTAATGATGAATCCATCAGATCAATCGGTTGATTCACCAAGCAAAAAATATTAAGAATTTCCCAAAATAAAACGTGTACTGATGAATCAAATAAATAATCTAACAACTTGTTCAAATTCTTCCTGAATAAATTCAGGTGCCTCCCCTTACTCACTTGGGAAGATTTTTGTTTCTCAAATAAATGAAGGTACATTTGTCTGTCTGTTTTTACCTTTTCCATGGGTAATTTTTTTCTTGTTTTCCTGGATATTCAGTAGCAATTCACGATATTTATTTCGGCAAAATAGTGCTTCCTCTTTCCTTCGTTCTTCATTCTCCTCCATACCCGCTTGCAAAGCTTTGAACATTTTTTTAAGATCTCCCATCCCGTCGTAATCGATACTCCTTGTTTTCACTATAAAACAGAAATTTTCTAGTCAATTATTCCGCTTTCGGAATACCTCATTTTATGTTTTCCCCGTGTGTTCGACAATAATTGACCACACTGTTCAATCAAATACAACTTCGTTTCACCACTACATTGCCAATACAACACAAGAACTCTAACTAAACTTCAGACTGATGTTCAAATGTCCATCGCCTCATTAGCTCACTTCGTACTGCACTTTCCGAACTAGACTGCATCCCCTATGTCGTGGTAACGCTTATATATCTCGATGGAAGTCTGGAAATCGGTAGAATAATTCACGAACAGACACAGCATTCCAGAAAGATCGAGAGATCTCTCTCGAGAGAGAGAGAGAGGGAGAGAGCGAGAGAAAGAAGTGGAGCCAAGTTTTATCTTGATCAATTTGCAGTCGATCGAAAAAGACCAGAGTTGACAGGCGTTTTTTTTTCTGGGAATAATTCACAACAATACAGTCGTGCATTACCTATAATGGAACAAATACCTTCTGCACAGACCTTGAAAACTGTATGAGTTACAAAAAAGGTGAAATGAAGGCAAATTTGCTCAATACGGAGCACATCAATTATGATTTCTAAAAAACTTAGATATCTCCCTTACTTTTGAAGATATACTGGAAACACAAACATTTCAGTTTTGTTGTTTCATATATCAGGTTTAACTGAATAGATTTCCGAAAACTGTTCGTAATTTGTCATTTCTTTTCAAAATGTTTTTCAGATTGTTGTATTCTTTGGGATTCACCAAACTTTGAATGTTTGAATATTGATCTGTCTTTTCCAACACATTCAAGCGACAGCAAACTATACGCATGAAAATGTGTCGTTGAAGTATGAATGTTCAATGATCAATAAAATATAACTACACTTTGGTGATATCGTCACTCCCATGTGAGGTCCATGACACAGAATATGTATTTTAATTTTGACAGAATGAGAGGTATCCCAGATGAATAAGTTTCTTTCCTAAAATAGAGAGATTTTGAAAGATTTCCAACCACCAGTCAGACACGGAGCAGGGATGTCGAGTTGATTGTCAGAGCCAGAATCGTGATCAATGTAGAATTTTTATGTGGTACTTTGGTGAAATATTTAATTTTTCTAAAAAAAGGTTTTTTTGAGTGTTGGGTAATACCGATTTAATTAATTTTTGAACTCATTTCAGGGACTGACATTCACAGATATGTCAAAGAAGGAGAATAGATTACCTAGATGGTACTTTGGAGGACTTGCATCAGCAGGAGCAGCCTGTTGCACACATCCCTTAGATTTAATAAAAGTTCATTTACAAACTCAACAAGGTGGAAAAGCTTCAATCATACAACTAACAAAAGATATTGTGAAAAAGCAAGGTGAGATATAATTTATTTTCTTTATTTTGAAATTCCACTTCTTCATTAATTCGAGTTAAAAATAGTGAATGGGTAAATTACACAGTTGTTAATTGCAGAATGATGGACCCTTTCCCATATTTCAGATTCAGATGATAAAATATTATATATTAAATTATTCAGGAACTTTGATTCTTATTTGGAGTGGGATAAGTTATGCCTGCAATGAGATGATTTTTAGAGCAATTTTCAACTTCCACTTGAAGTTAAACAAATAAAATATAATAAATAACAGATGTATTGGGATATATTCAAGTAACAATTTATTGTGAAATTTCAACTGAACAGTTTACAAAACTATAACACATGTTTCACTATATGATAGCTTCCTTAGGCAGATTTATTCTAACTAAATTCTACCTAATTAGTTTTATAGAATATAATAATTTGAATCATATGACCTACCTACTTATTGACTAATAAATTTACCTGAATCTAGAAATAAACTAATCAAAACTTTTTAAACATAAAAGAAATTTTACAAACCCATTGAATGGACATGTAATAAGGTAATCAATTTCCACATTAGGAAACAGATTTTTTAGAGGAAGGGAATTCCATTCTATTTAGTGATTCACTAAATTTTGGAAATTTTTAAAACTATTACTTTCCAAGCATTTCAAAATATTGAGATTCAAACCTTCCTTTCCCAAATGTAACATGTAATAGTCTGCCAAAAGATGGTTTGCAAATGTGGAATTAGTATTCACATTCACGAAACTATTCCAATGTTCTTATATTTTTTGGAAAAAGGTTATTCCTGATTGGCCAATTTAAAGTTTTGCCAAGTACGATAAGTCAACTTATATAAATTTGTTAAATTTGTTTTTTTAAGCCACGTCTAAGTCTTTCATTTTCAAAAAACGAGAGATGTTATCGATGAGTTCACCAAAGTATGTTGGTGTTGCTTATTATCATTTCTTGAAGTGGAATACACCTGGTGAATGGATTGTTTTTGTAGTTTTTTTGGAAAGAATATTGTAACTTAATTCTTTCCGGTGTAATTTTTCAAAGGTTTTAAATTATTTTTCAGCTGCTTTCCACTATTTTTTGATGTAACAAATTGAAAATGGTAAAAACATACATGCATACAAAAGCTATCCAAACGAAAAAATGTATCCAAATTGAAGAATAAAAAATACTTATCATTTATTAGATTGCCAATCGAAGTAATATTGATACAGTGATATTATATAATAATATTCAATTATGATAGTATCCTTATCATAATTGAAATGATTTTTATCCAAACATGAAGTTGAATGCACTTGAGAATTTTGTATCTGACATATTCACATTAACCAGTAAACAAAATGTATCCAAATTATGAGTACCAGTTACTTTATGAATAAAAATAAAATAATCAAGGTACATGATGAAAAATTGGAAAGAAATGGATAATAGGAAAAAGATTTCAACCCAAGTTACTTCACTACTGTCTATCGTTTCAATCATCGTCGGGAGATAATTCAGTTATAATTATAGTTTTATTATAAGGTATTTCACTTATTTCATTCATTTACAAGTCGGTATTAAATCAATTCAAATATGAAGTAAATCTAGTGTTTTCTATCAAAATGGAGTAGTAGAAAGTCCAAAACTTTCCCAAAAGTTATAAATCTAGTAACGACTTAGCTCTTCTTATATTTCCTAGTAGGATAATAACTTGGATTATTTTAGGTGTTCTTGCACTTTACACTGGATTATCGGCCTCGTTATGTAGACAACTTACATACTCCACTACACGATTTGGAATGTATGAAGTAGCTAAGCAAAATATGAACAGTGACTCATTCTATTCCAAAGTTGCGATAGCAGGAATAGCTGGAGCTGCAGGTGGCTTCGTTGGTACACCAGCGGATATGGTGAATGTCAGAATGCAAAATGATATCAAGTTGCCAAAAGAAAAACGACGAAAGTAAGGATGTACAATCAAAATAGTATATTGTTTTATTATGAGGAAAAGTGATGGCCTGTAAGACCATGGACAGGCCAAAAAACACTTTTTCTCCTAATGAAAACATACTATTTTTTCTTCAAACGTGAAAAATGCAAATCTTTCAAAAAAATAGAAGATGTATATTTTTTTCATGCTCAAAGGCTAAGGTAATGTAGGCTCTGCACTTCTGCAACAAATGTCAACCTAACATATAATTTATACTGTACCTGAAGTGACAGTGGCTAAAACTGCTTGTTATGTTATCAACCATATGGTACCATCAAAATCACATGAATAATTCAACAGTAACTTACCTCACCTCTGGAAAGTGTTCTTGAGGCAGATCGATTAAAATTGTCAATGATGACTTTCAATGCCGGCGCTAGTGCTGGTGAAACTTAAAGTAGAACCATAACCATGGTGATGATGATTTGAGTTTAATAGGAGATAAACGTCGACTTCAGTATAGGAATATCAGTCACAAAACATGCATTTTTGACTTTTGAAACAAAAATATATCAATAAATTGAACACTCACTGTATTGCATAAAAAGCAATGCTCTCGAATAGAAATTGTGCAGGTTATATAATTTTTCTTTCAGTTACAAACATGCAATAGACGGACTTGTTAGGGTATATAGAGAAGAAGGGCTTCGAAGGTTATTTTCCGGAGCTTCAACTGCATCTTCAAGGGCTATACTGATGACAATAGGACAGTTGTCGTTTTATGACCAAATTAAAATAATGTTAATACGAAGCGGCTTGTTTAATGACAACCTGACAGCACATTTTTTGTCAAGTCTAAGTGCAGTAAGTATTTTTCATCTTGTTCAAATCATAAATAATTTGATCCAAGTAAATAAACTAGAGACACTTCGAGTACTCATAAATACTTATAATCTCTATGAAAATATTTCAATACTTCGTTACACATTCAACTTTTTCAAATCAACATTTATTAATGAAATAATGAAATGAGATTTCCAATGCCTTACTCAGGAGTAAGAGATGAACGATAATGATTCTGAGTGATAAATTTCAATATTTCATTAAGGGTTACTAATGAATGAATGAATAATTAAACATGTGATATTCTGGATGTGTATTCACTTCCCTAAATTAAAAAAACAATCGAAATTAATAAAAATCAAGAATACTATTTAGATAGGGTTTCTTAAGAAATAATAGTTTGAAAATTTCAATTTATTCAGTTGCTCATATACTAATGATTCAAGTGAAAAATAATGAATAGAATTTTTCTGATTGATTCGGCCGTTACTTAATGAAGTTATTTCATAAACTACACTTTAAAAAATATATCACGAAATGTTTCGCAATCACAGTAGCAAAACGTGATATATTTTTCAAACATGAAATTTGTGAAGATCAAATTGTAAGGTGTAGTTTAAGAAAATTGAATTTTGTACTTGTCTTAGCAGTGGTATTTTTATTAAAAACATTATGAAACCTATGACTATTTCAAAACCAAAAGTAACTTGAGATAGATACAGTGATAGAAATTTATCCATATGGTCATGTAACACTTCTAATTATAAATTTTGCCTATATATTTCAATCAACCTGTGTGCCTTTCTCAAGCCTGTGAAGAAACTTCAAAAATTGCACTTGGAATTTTGCAAATTTCTTCATTGATCTCATTGAAAACAACAAAGGTAGTTCTGAAACACTTTCAAAACGAGGTATATTATCATTTAAAATTCTTGGATTTTTAATTATGTAGGAAAAACCTAAAATTCCTAGTGACAAGTTGGATAAATCTTTACTTGAAGTTTGTTCAAACAGCAACTTTTTTTATCAAAGGGAAGTGAAAACTCACGTCAATAATAACTAACAAAAGACTATAACAAGTATTATGATATATATTATGTTTATCTCATTTTTTCATGTATTTTTATAGGGTGCCATTGCAACATCTCTAACTCAGCCTCTAGACGTTTTAAAAACCAGGTCAATGAATGCTAAGCCTGGTGAGTTTAAAAACTTAGGGGCAATAATCGTTTACACTGCCAAATTGGGCCCTTTAGGGTTTTTTAAAGGCTACATTCCAGCTTTCATACGACTGGCGCCACAAACGATCTTAACGTTTGTCTTTTTAGAACAACTTAGGTTGAACTTTGGATATTTTCCCCCGCAAGTTCAACTTAATTAGATAAAAATTGTTTTATTTTTTTTATCTTGTTACCAATTTTAGTCCTGTTATGTTTTTAAAATTTTATGGTGCTGATTGTTTTTATTATGGGCTAGTTGATATTAGAGAAACTTATTTGACAATAATATTCAAAGACAACTTGCTTTTATTTTGCATTTATGTGAATTATTCAGGTGATATATTTAAATATTTTTAGAGCATTTTATTTTTTGTTTTTTGTTAGGACAGTATGTTTACAAAATATCATTCCTGTTACCATTCTTAGGCCAAAGGCCGATACGTGTTGAAGAATCTCTTGTAGTGTTTTGTAACTGCAGCTTGTCAAGTCTAGATGAGGTTATAAGATTTTATTTTCGGCAATAAAACTTTTTTAATCATTGTACTTCTTCCACTGCCTCTTCCCAATAATCATCTGATATTTGCCATCTCGCATATGTAGATAATTGATCCAAGATTCAATATTTTATCGCTGGTCAACTTAATAGATATAAAGACAATCGTTACTGATACTCTTTAGATGTTCGACTCTCTCTTGACATATTGATACTTAGATGATATAATATGACATAATAAACATCAATAGCAATTTAAAAATTTGGAAAATGTCAAGAAGACAAATTAATAACCACAGTAATTCTTCTGAAAAATGTAATGATTCAAAAGAAAAACAATCATTCGCCAAGGTTAAAGACGGGTTAAAAATTCTGAAATTATTTAACAGAAATGGTGCGAACTCTACTGTCGACAATTGAGAACTATTTCTTGGTTCGATTGTGTGGTTGAGACGTAAGTTACATGATGTCACCTGTGTATTTCTTGCTCTGAGCAAGTTTATGATGCGATATGCACTGATATCAATGCATGGGCTACCTCTGAGGGGTGTCGTTCATTAGGGGACGAAAGGTTAATGGGATAACCCATTTTAACTCACTTTAATTGCTCTGCAATTATCTTTCATTGCACTTGTGTGGGATGTGAGAATGTGACAACCAAATAAAATTATTAGTTCAGAAGAATACAGTATTCTTGTAATATCAAGTTATAAGCTTGGTTCATGTTCGATAATGATGATTTGATATTTAGATACATTGTCGGTCGTCACTAAACCAAAGATGTAAGCAACCGTCTGTGGCGTGACAATATCTTGGAATTTGAAGGTCTTTAATACAAATAGTGGAATATAAGAATGCAAATAAAGAAATTAATTACAGAGAATACAGTTAATGACAATGAATCAAGAGTGAAATTAACAAATGACAAAAAATAAATGTTAGAATGAGAAGATGGAAACTATGAGATACAAATGAAAAATTGGCTCAGAGTGCCCTGATATCTGAAAAATGTCAAACTCAACTTAAAATTCATCCAACATGGTGTACTTGTATTCCTTTTTGTTTATTGTAAACATAAGAGTAAGTTCGTATAGTCATTCTAAATAATGGGAAGTATAGTAGACGTGATTTGTGACGTCCATTACAGATCTCTTGGTTTTGGGACATAGACATTTGTTCAAACTCCACTGCTGGCAACCGAGAATTATTTTTTGGTCCGACAGTGGATTTGTTATGAAACCTGTGTATGTCTTGCTCTAAAAAAAACATATGATGTGGATTGCACTGATACTATCCCATGTTATTGTTCTTAAGGAGACAAAAGCATGTTAACGGATAACAATTTTAACCCACTTCACTTACTTTCTATTGTCTTTCATTATACTTGTGCGGTATGATAGGTAAAAATCATTGGAAAATGATGAAGACAGTTTCTACATCTAAGATAAGTCTACTTATATATCGTCTCAAGTGATGGGGATCATCAAATAGGGTTCATCAGTTGAACAATATACTCAAAGGATTTTGACTAGATTAGAGTGAGGATTGCAAAGTTTATAAGTCAGGAATTCTTGGTAGCTGTAAACGACCCCTATTCTTTTACTTTGTATTCTGCTTACTGAATAAACTTCAGTTTTTATTAATTCCGTTCACGTATAATAATTTATTTAAATGCATTAATGTGTAAAATCGGTTTATAGAATTCATAAGTATTATAGATAGGAAGGAAAATTAAACTCCCAGTGAAAAAGCGTCACTTTTGTGGGTGTTTCTACCCCTACTTCAAGGAAAACAAAATCATAAAATGGTAATCTCTGTTATATGTTGAACATTGAAATGAACTGACTCATAGTCTCCTTTATATGTGGTAACACCTTTTGTAAATACTCATTTTATACCTACTGAAATTTGTATTTTTATGAAATTTTGAAAATTTTCATGTTGGCTTCCGGACAGATCAGTATGATTATTCTAAGATCTTTTTTCCATGTATCAAGACATATTTTTCACAAACGCATGTTTTGATAGTTCCTAAATGAAGTGTGCTTTTCTCAATGGTACAAACTCAAGTTGGAAAAATTGTATATAATGGGATACAACTAAGTTGTTTCCACCTCAATTCTATATTGTGAGGTAATGATCACAAAGATCTATGTCGAATACTTATATGAAGAATGTGAATTATCCACCATGGCCCAAATAGCAAAAGTTGTATATCTTTTTTATTGATCTATGTTATCATCTAATACTATATTCCAACCTGCCACACATATATTATCTTATTATCGACAACTTCTAGCACCCTTATAAAGTAGGTAGGTATAATATGTTTTCGAACAACTTTTGAATATTATAGGGATGCATGGCTGTTGTACTGACACAACCCTTAGATGTGATTAAAACCAGACTCATGAATGCAAAACAGGGTGAATATAAAAATATGTGGCACTGCATAACATCAATTGCTAAGGAAGGACTTGGTGGGTTCTACAAAGGAACCATTCCTGCTGCTGTTAGAATCATTCCACATACCATTACGGTAATGGTACTTTATGAACAGATGAGATTAAACCTGGGATTCATACCTACTTCAAAAGAAAAATGAAAGAAACGATGGAAGCAAAGGTTTTTTCAATTTGTATAATGTTATTAGTGATATAGTAATTTATACCTTTATTGTATGCATGTATAATATATATCAAATAAAAAGGAAATGAATAGCCTTGCATAAAAAGTCACCTCCCTTCCAACTTGAGAAGGAGAATCATATAGTTGAATAAAGTTTACTTGAGAACTTATCCATTTTTAGTACTTTTAACCTTAAAGCAACTTTGAGATCACTTGTTAACCCTTTGAAGCCGGAATTATTTTCTTCTAAAAAATAAACTGAAAATCAATTGTAACTCGATCAATAAGTACTTCTGGATGTGAGTCGACCTATTTTTTCCATTTCTTTCTTTTTCAGTTAGTTATATTGACGTGTCCTCGCTGTAGAGCCACTAGAAAATAACAGATTCACATGATTTCAAAATTTTATCATCAACAATAAATTTTCCGATTAGTTATTTTTCATAGTAATGTGAAGAAATTACTTCTATTGGTAAGGCGTAACACAACATCATACTAGTTACAAACCCAATCATCCACACGCGCGCACTCTCACACACACACATAAACGCACACAAATATAAAAACACACGCCCCTCCCCTACACACAATGCAACGCGCGCGCTCACAAACATGCGCACACAAACACTGAATTCCTAGTTGTTCCATGATGGGGTGGTCACATATTTATGAGAAAATTCGGACTATTTGTCATTTGATATTGAAAATATTGAAAACGTTTGATAGACTATCGTGTACATCACATAACATTCAAACTCACCTGTCATTATTTCAAAAACAGTCAAGTTTTTAACATAAACTCCGCTTCCACAAGCGCATACACCAATGATTTCTAAGATAAGCTGAAATAGTTTATGGAAATTAATTCTACACATCATATCTAAACATGTGGGCGATACGTCATCAAAGTGAGCCCGCCGTGATACAACTGGGAAAATACATAGAAATTAATTTACGAGTGGCTTCGCGGTGTTACCACTGGAAAACAAATAGGAGTGCAGTATCAGATTTTTTTCTCAATAGGCCACTTGTAGATATTTTCATTAGCAAAAATAACCCATTATATTATACCTGAGTAACAATAAAACCAATAACGCATATGTAAAATATTTTCCAAATACGAAAATTTTGAAATTGATATATGTGACGTCATAAGGCTCCCAATCGGTGGTGTTGGTTTAAATACATGCAAAAACGGTTACAGGCGCAAAAGTTTCTGATCAGCTCTGGCAAAAGTAAATTATTTTCTTATTAGTCAGTGGGCTATGCTTGAAGACTGGCAGTGAACAAATCTAAAGAAATGAACTTCAAACGTTCAAGCCAGTCTCGAATATACCTACACAGTAGGTTAAATGGACTGACGCCTATCAGAAAACCTACTCCCTTGGCTAATACCACGAAGGGCGTTGGATTATATTCGACATGCGTCAGTGCAGGAATCTTCACAGAAAATTTCCTGCATATGCAATTGGCAATACAACTGAAAGGGTCGACCTTCAATTTTGTATACTAGGTGTACGTGTCCTTTCGTACTGACTTTTCAGGCGTCTTCTTATTCTTATCAGTTCCATCGTTTCTGGTGGAAGTTGCTGTTGGAAGCTATAGCGCAGGACTGGGACTTCTCGTGCGCTTATTCTTTCCATCGTTTGAGTGATCGCCTGTTGCAGCTGTTGTGTGGCGTTCTCCAGATCCGTTTTTGTATTGATGCGTGGGTGAGATACCACGCATCGCACCGTTTATGATTCGCTGGAATCTCATCGAGTCTATGACCCGCTTTGTTGGGTTGTCTGTTTCCACTTCACCTCTTCCTATCGTAAATAGGATGGGGTTGTGGTCTGACGAACCTTCTTCTATTGTTTCCATCTCCGTAGTTTCGATGTTCTGCACTAGTGCGATGTCGAGAATATCTGGGACTTGGTCTTCTCGCGGGTAGTGCGTTGGGGTGTTCGGTGCTACTACCGCGATGTACTCGAATTATTCTAGAATTCTGACTATATCTCTGCCTCTCGTGTTTCCATTCCTGCAGTTCCAGTCGCGCGACTTTGCGTTGAAGTCGCCGATGGTGACTGTTGGATGGTGGTCTGGGAATATTTCATTCTAGTCTCGTACCTCGCGGAGGTAGGTATACCGACGATATTCTTAACTGCTCGTAGCGTCTCAGTTTAACTCTGACCGCTACTGCTTCTCCGTGTTGAATTTCTGGTTTTCTGTCTACATTTTGCGCTAGATCTGTTTCTTACTAGTAGCGCCACGCCCCCCGCGGCATAGCGCGCCCTTGGCCTTTCTGTTTTGTATATATTATATCCTGTAATTCGGTAGCTCTTTTCGCTTCTTATCAATGTCTCCTGTAGTGCCATGACGTCTATGTCTAGGCGCGATAGCATTCCCAGGAGCTCATTTCTTTTGACGGTGAAACTGTTTAGGTTCCACGATCCTATTTTTAGCAGCTCCAAGATTCGCGGTGGCATTACTGTCTCCCGGGTGCTTGTATCAGTGCAGCTAAGACCGCTTGCGCGATCTTTTGCTGCTCAGTCGTTAGGCTTCCTAGGATATGTACCAGCTCGTTTCCTCCGGCTTTCTGCGCCTTCGGTGCTGGCTTCCTTTGGGCTGGTTGCTGACGGGGCCTCTGACTCTCCTCTTGTCGAGGCCTGTTCCAGGCTGTTACTGTTTGTCTTGGTTTGGGGAACATCCGGCATCCCCTGTAGCTGGCCGGGTGCGCCTCCAAGCAGTTGGCGCATTTGGCCGGTGTTTCTCTTGGCTTTTGACACTCTTTCGAGTCGTGTCCTTCTCCGCATTTCACGCAGCAGGCTGTCGCGTGACAGCACCTTTGTGCGTGCCCAAAGGCTCCGCCCGCACGATCAAGTTTACACACGTTCTTAATTACTAATAACGAAAATCGGAATTCTTTCAGAGTATTTCATTCCTCTTCCTAAGTTGGAGCGAAACAACAAAATGTCACTCCATCTAGTGGATGAGGTACTAACCAACTGCATTATCCGTAATTTGCCCGATTCCTCTGATTAAGGAAGAAAAACTTTCTTATTAGTCAGTGGGCTATGCTTGAAGACTGGCAGTAAACAAATCTAAAGAAATGAACTTTAAACGTTCAAACCAGTCTCGAATATACCTACACAGTAGGTTAAATGGACTGACGCCTATCAGAAAACAACTACTCCCCTGGCTAATATCACGAAGGGCGTTGGATTATATCCGACAGGCGTCAGTGCAGGAATCTTCACAGAAAATTTCCTGCATATGCATTTGGCAATACAACTGAAAGAGTCGACCTTCAATTTTGGAACGGGCACACTTGCAGACCGGTTCCGGAATTCCTTCAGAGTATTTCATTCCTCTTCCTAAGTTGTATTGCCAAATGCATATGCAGGAAATTTTCTTTGAAGAAATCTGCATTGAAGATTCCTGCACTGACGCCTGTCGGATATAATCCAACGCCCTTCGTGGTATTAGCCAGAGGAGTAGTTGTTTTCTGATATGAGTCAGTCCATTTAACCTACTTTGTAGGTATATTGAGACTGGCTTGAATGTTTAAAGTTCATTTCTTTAGAAAAGTAAATTAGATCAATACTTTTTCATATATTACATTGTGCACTGTTTCTATGTGTATCTGAAGGAATCTTCAATGCATGTTCTAGACGTCTGTGAAGAGTTTTTACTGCAAAAAATTTTTTGACTTCCTATTTCTCCACCACTGAATAAAGATCTGATATCTCCTAAAAATATTCTCTTTTCAATTAAAATATTTATCGTAGTTATCTTCTTCTGATTTGTATACCAATAAATATTTGTCCACAAGAAATCCAAGCTGCTTGAACAAGCCAATCCTAAAAATTTTGTACATATTGAAAAAAAACTTCAGAAAAAGCATGTGAAACTATATAAAAATAATATGAATAAAAAAATATAGTTGAAAAATTTCAATAAGAGTTTGTTAATGTATAAGAACAAAAAATAAAACTCTTCGAAGGAGTCATCTAGATACTCCTGAACACTACAAACAAATTTCAATAAACAATCCCCTAGAATTATTATGGAATATAATTTGAAAATTAGTAACTTTATTAGTAGTTGGAAAAGTGGACAGATTTTTTTCTTACAAAACTGACTCACTTGAACAAATATATTGATGGAACCGATAATAGTTACATTCTTATAAATATTGGTTTACAACTATCTGTATACTTCATATCAAAAATCAATCTTACAATGCATTTTTGGGCTATAAATATCTATACATCAATTTTTTGGTGGTCACAGATTCGATTTTTATCCTTTCTTGAAGAATTCAATTAATATTAATAATTCAATATAACGTTGCTTGTACTTTCAAGGTTCCTCTTTTGCTTTCGATAAATAAAACTAATACACACGAATAAAGTATTTAATTAAAACATGTATTAAACTCTTTGCAATATTTCACAGCGTTAATGGAAGGATATTTAGACAATGCTTAATATTCATTTATCTAGTCCTGATTCCTATTCATATCTGGATATTTATCCTACTACCAAAATCAATATTTTATGTATTTTATTGATAAATTAAAAAAAGTTTTTTGATCAAATATGGGCATAGATTTGCATTTGATATAACAGAAAATCTCTTTACATAACAGAAAATAATTCAATAAATCATACAGTACAACTATACAGGTAATCAGAAATGGAGAAATGAATAAAAAGGATTTCAATAATGAAACATAGACATTTTACAAACGACAAGGGAAAATTATTATATAAAATTCAACATCAATAAATACAAGTCAGAAATTACAAATGCAACTGAACACATGTACAATTCCAATTATTATATTAGTCCGATCTGTTTTGGTTAATCAAAACAGGACATCTGTTGACAAAAGTAACTTTCAACTTACCAGCATGCTGTTCCCAAGGCTCTCCATCGACTTGCATTGGTGCCTTTTGTTTCAAACGTATCTGAAAAAAATTCTAATTGACGCAATCTAAAAATATCTCGTGATATTATCCCACAGTTGCGAAATTGAAAATGTAATTTCAAAGAATTTGAAAAAACAACTAAAACTCCCAAATATGTTTCTGGGATATTTTCTTTCTCAGCTCTGAATCACATAAATCAAAGTTATTCGAAGCTTTCCAGATGAAAAATTGCATTTCTAGTGATTTTAAAAAGTTTTCATCAATTTGAATACCTCTACATTTTTAGCTTGACCAAGTCTAATGGGGCAAGATAAGCCAATTTGGAGCTGGGCCATGTGGAACGAGGAATAAATTCCTACCACTTCTAAGACCCCATCGTGGTAGGACTGATTCAGTCTTGCATTACCATCACCGCTCATGCCTAAAATAAACATTTTTACTATTTTTCAATTTGAAGTCGAAGAAAAATATTTACCCCATAGGTTAACGCCAGCACCCCATGAAGAAATGTTCAGAACAACTATTGATTCTAGTTCGGGAAGATCGATATGATTACCATCCAGATACAAGTCCAGTCGTTTTTCAAGATTTTTACAGTCTGCAGTAACAACTTGCTGGGTACCAAAGCATAAATATAGCATCTGCAATATGAATGGAAATATATTTCAGAATCACTAGGATCTTATTGTTTTTTATGACGAAAAATGATTGAATCATAGCTTTTACCTCAATATCTATAATATGACATACCGCATGCATCTCTATAGTCAATTTTATTCTCTTTTCAATTTCAATACGATAAATAATTTTGAATTATATGAAGATTTTGTTTTTTGGATGTATAACCTTTACAATCTGTAAAATAAACAAAGCTAAATCAATAGAAAATCGCTGAAGTATATAGAAAGGCAAACTAAAAAGTTCATCCCAAAAAGTTACTGCATAATATAAACCGCTGAAGAGTCCATAAGTCAGTAACTTGTTATATATGAAATGAAAAATCAATGGAAAAAATGAAATTTCTACACTTATCTTTCTTCAGATTTAGACTATTGAAGTGTCGGAAAATAATCCTTTTCCACTCTTCAATGGTTTATATTAGGCCATAACTTTTTGGTTAGCCCTTTATTACACTCTAGGAAATTCTCTATTGACTTCTCTTTGTTTATTTTTTAGATTGTGGGAGGTTTTACAACCAAAAAACAGTAAGAAACATTGGTTTTTCCACAAAAATGTAGTTCAACAAAACCATAAGGATTTCATTTTGCATGTCCTTTAAATGAAATAATAATTTGAGATTTTGAACTGATTTTTTTTGTAACCTCAAACCATAATTTCGAAGATTGTATATCCACAGCCTTTGCCAAAAAATGTTTCAGATTTAACAATTCATCTCTAAACTTCTTCATTGATTTTCCATAAATCAATTTTCATAATCACATAATCATTATTCAATTATTTTCTATATCAAAAAAATTTGCTCTTCTGGTCCTATACTCCAAACTCTAATACATTTGAAAGGCATCATTAATCAATGATCGATGGTGTAGGGTAGGTTATCAACAGTTATTATCATTTCAGAAAGTAAGGATTGGAGGTCAAGCTCTTTACCTGTTTTGCTACTTGATAGCTCAAGAAAAAATAAAACTATATTAATGCATGGCAAAGTAAGGGTTTTAGTTTTCTACTTCTCCATCTTTATACAAAAAAAATGTATGAATCTTCCAAGAAAGAAAGCAATTAATTTCAAAATGAACTCAATACAAACATATATAATTCATACAAACAAGTAACTTTCAGATACAAACTGGAAGAAACAACACCGTTCATATAAACATTGAATTACACAAAAGAAAAAATATTTTCAAAACAACTACTTTTATATAATCATTGAACTATACAAAAAACACTTTTTCTATTCAGTTTGTACTCCAAACATTCATTATTGAATGGAATCAGATATCATTCACAGGATTGCTAAACAATGCAGTATATGAAAGAGGTAAAATTTCACTTACATGGAACACTATCATCCTCAATGGCAGACTTCCGAAGTTTCACAATGAGACACTTGCCTTATTGCCTCTCCAGCACCAATCTGGATAACATTACAAGATGAAGCACTCAATTCATTCATAATGCAAATTCAGAGTGAAGAATTATTCGATGAAAACTTTCTCAAAAACACCAAAAAGTGTTCGAATCATTACATTCAAAAACTCAGAAATAATACGGTTTTTCAGTACCATTCGTGACTTCACATTCTCATGAAATGACACATTTTTTTCAGTTGCAAAAAGGGTCTAGAGCATTCAATAATTGTCGAGATTGACTAGCATAACTAAATAAGCAAGTAGTATATTGATGGCAAAGCAACGAACCATGACTGTCTACCAAATGCAATACTCTAATTTGAACAGCATTCCAGTGAAAAATGTATTCAAGAATATATTTAATACACGGCCCTATACTTGATGAAAATTAATAACACCATCCATGATAATATTTATACAATTCTCAACAATATAAATTTTATTCAAGAAGTGTTTCTCTACACGGCAGCTTCATCAGTTAGGTGCCATCCCAACTTATGAAGTTACTGTGTAGTGAAACGCATCTTAGAAATTCATAGTATGAATATTGTATAATTAATAACATGGATGCTAATATAATACTCCTGTCATTTTCATTGATATATATTCAAACTGACTCAAGAAATTCAAAATGGCCTTTCTAAATTAAAATAATATGATGAACTTCAAAGGATTGCTGATATGAATATATGCTATTTCGTTTGAAGGTAGTTGACAATGTTTCTTTGTTCATTTCATTATTTTGGACTTCCATTATCTAATATGATATAAATTGATTTGAAATCCCTGAAAGAATCTGTAAAAAATTAAAAAAAAGATTAGTTGAAAAAAAAATAATTATATTAAGCAAAAAAATTGAAATTAAAATGAAGCAACCACCAAAACCGAAAAAAAAACTAGATGAAAAATAAAAAATTATTAACAAGAAATGAAAATTAAAAGATTCCAAACCAAGTTACTTCACGACTTTTCGATTGTTAGTATCCACAATCGTCTTCGGGTGATAACTGAACTTCCTCCGAGATCTGACTCAAGGCCGTAGCCAGAAAACAATTTCGGGGGGGTTTGGTTTGGTGGAACAGTAAAAAAACATGAAATATAAAAATAACGAAAGAAAAAAAAATTGTGTATGATCATATATTTATTAGAAAACCATTACAGAAATATTAACACCTTTTTACAAAATCAAATTTAGTTTTTTAGCTTTCTTTGCAGCAAACAAATCAATTACCTCCTCGATGTCGATGTCAATTCTACGGTGGATTGACATTAACGCCAAACCGTTTAGTCGTTCCTGGCTTGTGGAGTTTCTTAAATAAGTTTTTGAGGCGTTTCAGAAAAGAAAAAGTCCTTTTAGGGGTACATGTGGAAACAGGTAGTGTCGCCAAGATCTTTGAAAGTTTGTACGCGCATTGCCTTAAGGTTTTTCCATTGTGTTTCGAGGAGTTTTTTTTTAAGCACTTGGTTCGTTTTGCCAAGGACTTGATAAAATTTCTAACGGATTTCATAATTCCAATAGTATCTGTAGAGTACGGAGGGTGAGTGTAGACCCACAGCACTTAGGCCACATGTGACTTGTTGTACATCCTGCCAAGGAGTTGTCCTCCTGAGTCATCGTCGATCCTGTCCTTTCCAGGAAGGTGGACAGGTCACTAGTAGACATCTCCTTTATATCGGCAGGTGTAGGCCAAGACTTGGTGAACATACACTCTCTTATTGACAATAACTTCGGACACTCGCATAGGACATGCCTGACAGTTTCATTTTCCTGTTCACACATCCTGCATAGAGGTGTGTCCACTAGCCCCATATTATGGAGATATTTTCTTAGTTGACAGTGGCCAGTCAGAAATCCTACTGTTAAGTGTAGATTTTTCCTGGTCATCACTAGATAATTCTTCGGCGCCAGCTTCCCAGGGACGCCCAGGGTGATCCTGGCAAGAGTGCAACGGATTGAGCTTGGGTGTAACATTTGGCTAGTTCCGCAATTGTCGAAATCATCAGGCCGTAGGGGCCACTGGGTCCTAATAGTCCCTTGGCTGAAGAGTCGGCAATGCGATTATCTTTACTCCTGTCGTTCCCTTTAATCCACCTCTTGGTGGCACTCTAGTACTAGCCCTGAGGTAACACGTTGTCTGTACAAGGCTAATAGGGCTTGTCTGCTATCAGTGCAGATTGTTATTTTTTTGCCAGAAATTCCTTTCCTGGTTATTTCTTTTGTGGTTTGTGGTGATTGAGATACCAGCCAGTTTTGTTTGAACCACGCTGGCTTAGTGATTTGGAGTACACTCCACATTCTGAGCCTCCTTTGGTTTTTGAGCCGTCTGTATATATGCGTATTGCATTTGTAGCATCTGACTTTGTGTTGTGTTATTTGTATTTTGTAGGGTTTATTAAACACAAACCTGGGTACAATTGCATCACTGGTTGTCTGCAGCAGAGGTTGCGCAGTGTGTGCTTCTCGCCATAGGCTCAGCCTCAATTGACCCACTCCTACTTCGAGATTTCCACCAGCCGTGTGCAATCATAACATGGCCATTAACACAACCTTCTTAACGTACAGGTCCAGAGGGAACAGACCAGTGATTAATTCCATTACCGCGGTTGGTGTTATTCTCATGACTCCTGTGATGTTTAAACAAGCCAATCGTTGTATCTGATATAATTTTTAGATAGCCGTTTCTTGTAAAACTTTCGGGGGGATCAATCCCCCTTGATCCCCCTGGCTACGGCCTTAATCTGACTATTTATAGGTCATTCGAGTGCTTTCACCTATCCCCTCTTCCCTCTCTTCGCTTCATCGGTTTTAGCGGAAGCTGGCCGTTTGGCGGGACTTGGTCTAGTTCCGCTTGATTAGAGGTTTCTATATGTTGCGTATCTCTACTCTAGCTCGGCTAAATGCGTTGTTGGACAACATATATGCGGCTTCTTTGAATTTCCTCCCAAACCAGTGTTCTTCCTTGTGGATGATTTCAGCTTGAGCCCACTTGATGTTATGTTGAGCACATAATAGGAGAAAATTCAAAAAAGCCGCATATATGTTGTCCAACAACGCATTTAATCAAGCTAGTATAGAGATACGCAACCTCTAATCAAGCGGAACACGACCAACTCCCGCCAAACGGTAAGCTTCGGCTAAAAGCGATGAAGCGGAGAGAGGGAAGAGGGGATCGGTGAAAGCACTCGAATGACCTATAAATAGTCAGATCTCGGAGGAATAAGTCCAGTTATCACCCAAAGACGATTGTGGATACTAACAATAATCGAAACATCGTGAAGTAACTTGGTTTGGAATCTTTTAATTTTCATTTCTCTTTGGTAATTTTTTATTTTTCATGTCGTGTTGATAGTTTTCTTTTTATTTTGGTTGTTACTTGTATTTTATTTCATTGTAATCTCAGTTTTTTGCTTAATATAATTGTTATTTTTCAGTTAATCTCTTTTTTAATTTTTCACAGATTCTTTCAGGTATTTCAAATCAATTTATACCATATTAGACAATGGAAGTCCCAACTAATGAAATATATGCTATTTCATTACCTTATTGAAGACCCTGCTTCCATAAACATAAAAAATACTGTCTCTTGTCTTATGGAAATTCAATGCAACTTGTGCATCCACACCAATACTGATATAATTATACATGAAGTATGTTTTATTGGGTAATTTCAACCCTAGATGTCTGGTTGAAGTCACTTCAACTTTCCATCTGAAACAGAAAATTGTGAAAAATGCTGGATGTCAAATAACCCTTTATAAACCTGTCCAGTTCTGAAACTCTTGCGTCTTGTATACTTTCCAAGATTTCATTTATATGCAACTCTGAAGAATTCTCTTTACCCCATCCAAGTACCCTAGAGAGATCATTGCCAGTACCAAGGGGAAGAATAGCTAATAGTGGCTCAGGCTGAAATTTACAATAACAGAAAACGGTAAAGTGACATTATTTCATAAATTACATCAAGGTCCAAATTATGTGATGTTGTCAAAACCCACGAAATAGTTCCATCTCCTCCTGCTACAAGTACTTTGATTTGTTTTGGGGCCAGCAAGACACACCACTGTAATGCGGCAGAGGGCTTTCTTTCACTCAAATCAATCACTTGAACGGGATTAAGGTACTTTCTGAATTCTGATAAAACTAAGGCTCCATCAGTATTGCCAGATTTTTTGTTAGCTGTTCATGAAAAAAATATCAAGGTGGGTACATTCAGTAGTTAAAATTTCACAAAACTCACCAATAACAATCAAAGGAGTCCATTTCTTCCAACCCGGATCTTTTACTCCCCTGAGAAGTAAATGCTTATTCAATGCTCCTTTTCGACGAGCTACTTGTATGCACCATGGAGGAACTATCATATTTCTATAAGGCCCAAAGTCGCAAATCTGAAACATTAAATGACTGTAATACATTAAATGACTGTAATAATAAATATTATCATTATTGCCATTTTTCACAACTGACAATGTTTGTTCGATGAGAGCTACCATTTCCTTAAAAAATTTATTAAAACTGTTTTCGTTATTATTTAATTATAATCTAGAAAGAAGACACAAACATTTTCAATTGTCTTTTACTGTGGATCAAGGCTGTCAGGATAAATGTAATAATCCAAAAAATGTTTTGGTTGGTTTCCGGGTTTTGCCGTGGTCTTCTTTGGTTACAGTCTCCAAACGTTTCAACTGCTACTGATACGTCAAGAAGAGTACTTCGACCATGCCGCCGAAGATGACTGCTGCAGTTTCAGTTGAAATGTTTAGAGATTGTAACGTATATTTCAAGAATATATGTTGAAATTAAATGGCAAGTAAATGAATTTTGAAGGAGCATTTTCCTCTCAAGTAATCAAATTTAATGCTTTCTTTTCTAATTTAGAAGTGTCATATATATCTTTCTGTTTTGACTTCTTCATTTCAGAATTTGCTTTTGTAAATTCCAATTAAAAAAAGTTTATTTGAAAATCAACAGTAAATATATATATTTTTCTAAGAATCACTACATAAATTTCGGTGAAAATGTTTGTGTCGCAGTTTTTAAGATCTTTTTTCAGTTATAGAATAATAATAAAATTAATGTAGGAATTTACCTGCTCTGTACCAACAAGACACTCTGTATGAACTGTTTTCTGACACCAACAACATTGGTAATCAACAAGACCAGGCTCCATTGAACAGTCCTCTCCGCATTTTTGACAAACAGCCCACAACGGTAAATTACCTACACAAAAATTATAATTTTTTGGAAATATTTTTCACGTTCTCAAATATCTAAATAGTTTATAAAAAAAACTTCATTTTATTCTAGAATAATTTCATCTAGCTTTCATTGCCTTGATCAATGTCGTACCCAGTTTTGCAACAGACCATAAAGACAAATGTTCGTTTTCAGTGATGAAAGATTCACATCACATTGAAAATTTTTATTGTTAGTTGATAGTGTTAGCCTGAAAAAGCTTTTGTACAGAGAAGTATGTGTTAGGGTATTGTAAACAGTGTAGTGAAAATCTCGCAATAAAATGTTTCTTGAATTCTTCACTGGTTGATGGTAAATTGGGTTTCAACAATAAATTGCACTGTAATGGTAAAAAAATCATTCATTTTAAGATTTAGTCATACCCCAAATGATTTGATCACAATTCACCTATAAAATCATGAAACGGTTCTATGAAACAGGTGAAGTCAGTAAATTTCTAGGACCATCACTTACTGAAGATTGTAATTAGAATCAACATATGGCCAATATCACAATATACTAATGAAGATTAGAAACTTGTTTTTACAGAACATTTGGTAAATCGGATTGGTAGTTTTTTGGTTAGTCGTTCACAACAGGTTAAAATTGGGGATACAAATCGAGTAATATATTAGTAATACACAGAGTGCCACAAGGGTCGCATTGTTCACCCCTGTTATTCAATATTTTTGTGAATGACATAGGATGCTGTTTTGAGAACAGTGAATTTTTAATGTTTGTCGGTGCCCTGAAACTTTTCAGACCGATAAAGTCATACAATGACCGAATTCTCTTTCAAGATGATCTTGATAAAGTTTATAAATAGTGTGTTACAAATAACTTGTTTCTTAATGTAAATGAATTCCATTTTATTATCTTCTGAAGAGTTGGTAGGAAATTTGATACATCATATAATATAAATGAACAGTACTTAGAATACACATCATCTATAAAAGATTTGGGGGTCATTTTCGATGAACAACTTAGATTTGTAAGCCATATCAACCAAATGAGTGTGAAATCATCCAAAACACTAGGTCTTATTTTACCTTTAACCCAATGATGAAGGTGATTCTCACTACTACTAGTGATAACTTTACATTTTAGTGCTAGGTTAGCTTTTTTCACACATTCAGGATCTGCACAAACTCCACAGCAATCACAATATACTCCAATGCCATTGAGTAGAAGCGATTCACAAATTGAACAATACCAAGCCTAAAATGATACTTATTAGTATGAGTGCTTTTTGAGAGTATAAACATACTTACTTTGGATGTAATTTTTATGGGAGTCCAATTATGATTTTTAGTGGAATCTCGAACTGGAACATTTCCCTCACTACTCAATTTTTTAAATATAAAAAAACTCAGAAAACATACAAGTACTGCACTGACGAAACTCGTGAATCCAAAAGGAGGAAAAAGTTCTCCGAATATCCACATTCTAGGTCTAACATCTACTCTGTGTTTGCTAAAAACAGCCATTTCAACGGGAAATTTTCATGTGAATGAGTTAGGAATGTAGGGGTGAATCTTTCTTTAGAAATCATGTCTCCTTTCAAATTATTTCATGCATACACTATGAAATGAATTTTCTAGTAATTTGATTTTTATTGTTTATGTTTAGATTTCACTTTTCAAATTCTCGAATGTCAAAAAACTCCCGAATATTCAGGGATATTAATCTTGCATTGTCAAATGTCAGTGTAAAGTTGACAAAAGCGTCTAGGGACCGTCTGTAATTGAACGTGCGCATTTCACTTTTTTAACAAATACTTTCGAAAGTCCAGCAAACCATACAAGTCATAACCAAAGAGAAAAGAGTTTACATAGATATAATAGAATGGAAATATAAAGTATAATATCTATGGTTTGCTCTAATCTGCGTCACCGCGTTAAGGCTCGTTTATGCTTATACGAATATTAACATTCTTGTTGCGAATCGCAAAATAACTAGCGCATAAACGTTCATACTTGAAAAACCAATGTTTATGCCTATCTTATGTTGTAACACTGGACAATCTTCTTGATCTATTATCTTTCTTTGATATATCTGTGAATGTCAGTCCCTAAAATAAGAGGCAAAATGAGTTGATTCGAAAATAATCAACACTCAAAAAACCTTTCCCAAAAGAAAAATTGTTCACTAAAATACAACATAAAAACTCGACATCACTTTAAATTTTGACTGATAACAATCAACTACAGACATCTGCTTTTCCTATCAGGCTGATGGTTGGAAAATTCTCAATCAAAATCTAGGCAGGAAAATTTATTACACTAGGGACATCTGTCCTTCATCATAATCAACACACTATTCTATGTCATAGAGCACAGCATAAACGGGAGTGATAATAACACCAAGGTGTCGTAATTTTTTATTCATTCCTATTTTAAGGTTCATTCATATTTATTCGAATATTCATATTTATGTTGTGAATCGCAAAACGACTATCATATCAAGTGTTCATACTTTTTTATGCCTATAGTATGTTATCAGCTATCGCATGTATTCAGATCGCATTCAACTTTTTTGAGTGATGTGGATGATATCTGTTTCAATCCCATAACGAATTTTTAAAATGTGGACCACAAATAAAACTGCTGTCTAATGAAAATAAAGGGGAAAACAGACTCAGCAAAATTAAACGTGCCAATTTTTTCATCATTATTACAAAGGGTCTGCAGAACAAGATTTCTTAATTTTTCAGTTGGGCCTCGACAAATAAGTTGGGAGAATTTTTCATTTACGATTTTATTTTCAACTTTAATGTTTTTTCTAACATTTGTTGTCGGATTATACAGAGTAAATAATTCATCCTGAACTATTATGTACTGTTATTAGGAACAATGAATGAATACTGTGTACCTATTTTAATACAATCGTTTAATTGAGCAGAAATTTTATAATTCAATGAATATCGGTTAATTGTCAATTTTTAGAAGTTGTGTCAATTTGAATGACGTATATAACTTTGGGTGGTAATAACCCCTCTGACCAACTCTCGGAACGCACTTGTCTTCCAGAAGAATTATTATTATATTATTTCTTGTAGTAGATGTCAATATTTGGAATATGTTAATACTGTTAAGATAAATCCTAAAAAGTACTATTCGACAGAAAATTGTAATTTCTGAAAGAGTCAGACATAAAACACATCATTTCACGCCGATAGTGTCGCAACACTAGCTAATTTTATCTTCAAAAATAATAGATGTTCGCCCCTTGCTCTTTGTGTATTGTTTTTATTAGCTTATTGTTGAAATATAACTCCATTTTATTTTGAGAGCGTGTATTATTATATTTGATTATGTGTACCTTTTCGATCGAGGGCATGCGTGAAGGCAAGAATGTTGAAGTTGGCTGTTCGTCATATAGTCGGTTATTTTCGACCTCAACGTTGTTTCAATTTCAGAATCTGACAACAGCGCTAATTCCGTTAGTGTCACTTGTCATCCGTCTTCGTCATTTTAGTATCATTTCCTTTCTGTTTAGAACTTCCCGTCGTATCGCACGTGGATAAAACAATTCGGCAAAATGGTAGCCCAAAAAAAGACGAAAAAGGCCATTGAAAGTATCAACAGTCGTTTGGCGTTGGTAATGAAATCTGGAAAGTACTGTTTAGGATATAAACAGACGTTGAAGACACTCCGCCAAGGAAAGGCCAAACTCATCATCATATCCAGCAACACACCTCCACTAAGGAAGTCAGAAATTGAATATTATGCTATGTTAGCCAAGACTGGAGTACATCATTACAGTGGAAACAATGTAGAGTTGGGAACAGCATGCGGTAAATACTTCAGGGTTTGCTCTATGTCTATTACTGACCCGGGAGACAGTGATATCATCAAGTCCATGCCTGCCGGAGATGGTGCCCCACAGTAACGCAAAATTGTTTTATGTAAGGTGATTTTTTTTGTTTTGTATTATGTACAATTTGAATAAACCTATAAGAATGTACGTGTGTTGTGTATTTTCTTTTGAAATATTCAATATCTTTCTCATAATAAATTTAAAATTTGTTGCATAGATAGAGAAGTTGATTGATCCCTTCTGAGAACTCTACAAGCTTTAGGACAAGCTAAGATGGCATTACATCAAATGAAGTATTAAGGGTGAATTCATGCATCCAGTCAAGTAATTGTAATCCATTGAATCAATTTTTAGGGGCAAAATTCATTAATGAGTACAAATATCTTTCATATACCTGCTACATATTTTATATTCCTTAGCCAAAAGATATAACTCAAGACCCAGTTTCAAACAATTTTTGACAAAAAAGGAAGTCTAAAAATGAAAATCGTTTTATATTTTCGTTTTGTTATTGAGATTGAACGTATTCAAAAAGCACACTTCAATGTGATATTTTCACTTGAAAGTTTACAAAACCGATATATGTTTTGCTACATGAAAGCATCTTCATATAGTGAAACACCTATCGCGGTTTTGGGTGTATAACCTTCTACAATCTGAAAAGTGAACAAAGATAAATCAATAAGGAATTTGCTTAAAGGTAATAAAGGGCAAACTGAAAAGTTACCGCGTAATATAAACCACTGAAATGTCCAATTATTCAGTAACTTGTATTCATAAATTTTGCAAACAAATTGAAAAAATATAAATTTTTATACTTAGCTTTGTTTAGTGGTCGAGGTTTCGGAAAACAATCTTCTTCCGTTGGCCTTTGGCCTTAAATTATAAATAGCTTTGATTCTTTCGTCAAAAGAATGAAATGTCCAGATGTCATATGTGATAGGCTACATGAATACATATACTGGCTTTTTCTTTGAGAATTCAGTTAAGGTTCATATTTCTGTTTTCAACCTCTCGTCTTAATAATGGCAACCAGGTACGATCCATTTCCACAGAGCTATTTGAAATGCACTTGTTACCTCCTATAAGAAATATGCGAATTATTTGAGTTTTCTAATTTTTTCACGAGTTTCTTTGATGATAATTTTTGATTCCCTCCATTTTATAGCATGATCAGATGATTTCAGAATATGCTTTGCTATCCCCGATTCCTTCCATCTGTCTTCTCCTTATATATTCACAATGTTCATTTTTTCTCACATCTAGGGCTTTTTTCACAGAACAAGGTATATTGTAAAAACAATCTTTTGTTTATAATCCATATTTTCGGGATTAGGTTGTGTTAAAAGAGATGTCAATGTGTTGGTAGTTCTAAAAGTTGTTCTTACATTGTATCTATAACCAATGCGTCTCAATTTTTTGGACAAACCGGGAACATGAAGTATGACATTAGTTGTGAGGTATGTGTATTGTTGTTGGGATTGTGGTTTCTGTATATTTTATTGCGTATTGCTTTTACCAACTTCATTAGGAGCTCTTCTCACAAACTTCTCTGGATATGCGTTTTGCTCCAAAACGTTTTAATGATAGTTATTTCCTCTTTCAGACTATGAACTGAATTGCAAACTTTCTTTGCCCTGTCAAAAATCTGTTTAAAATCTAACTATACCTTTTTTGATGCTAGTGTGATGATTAGATTTAGAGTGGAGATATCTTTTAGTATGAGTTTTCTTTCGATAAACACCTGTATCAAGAGTATTTTTCGGTTTCTTGATCATAACGCCAAGAAAAGGAGTGAATTTTTCAGTTTGCCTTTTATTACACTTTAGCAGATTCTCTACTGATTAAGCTTCGTTTATTTTTCACAAAAAAATGTCGTTGAAAGGTTTTGACTTTCTACTTATCCATCCAAAAAAAAAATAATTAAATGTTTATATATGAAAGTAGTTATTTCAAAAGCATTTTTTCTTTCGTGAATATTTATATGAAAGTAGTTATTTCGAGGGGGCTTTTTCTTCCAGTTTGTGTCTGAATGTTACTTCTTTGCATGATCTATACATCTTTGTGAAGAGTTTATTTTGAAATAAATCGCTGTCTTTTTTATGAACCCTACCTCTCGAGATTATATTACTTTTTAATGGCCAATAAAAACTCTTATTATTATAATGTCAATTCCCATGTAAACTAATAATGTATTATCTCTTGAGTTACACACAAGTTTAGTAACTCTTCCTTTTATTTTACCACAATTATATGCATTATTGACAAGCAAATTAATAACAGCAACTTCCTTCCATGATTATTTTATAGATGTAGGCAAATATATCATATCAAACACATTTCAAAGTCACAAATATGTATTCACATACGTATATATAAATGAAATTACTGATAATGTCACTAATTTGATCATAACTGAAATAATTCAAAATGAAATCAGAGAAGTTATAAATATTTTGAGATTTTTTATTGTTCAAAAAACTATACAGTCAAACCATAAAGGAAATTTACCCGATTCTAAGGGACGAGAAGTTTTCAAAAAATAAAAGTGCAAACACAGCTTATAAAACCGATAATAACTTGAACATGCTTATTGAAGATAGCAAAGACGAGAGTTTGGAGTCAGATATATCAGGAGTATATAAATTGTCATGTGGATCATGTCCAATGTTTTACATAGGTCAAACTGAAAAACCATTTAAAGCATGTATAAAAGAAAATAGAAACGGTTTCCACAATGGAAAATTGAATTCAACATATGCTACTCTCCTTTCCAGAAGATAGATTTGAAACTCAACCTCCTGGAAAATTCACAATATCTTAGGAACGTTCAAATTGATTTGAATAATTCATCTATGCTTAATATTTTCTCACAAGGAAATCATACCCACAATAAGTGACTGTAATATCATTCATTTTATTTACTTGGTTTCACTAGAACTCAGTAAATTATCGATTATATTTGGTCTTTCAGGTAGTTGAAGTAATGAGGTATTTAACATTTTTGCTTGAGGAAACTATTGACTAGTAAAACGTGTGGCGGTTTTTGTACAACCGCGTGTAGTGAAAATTTTGCAGTAAATGGTATCTATTATTAACATAACATGATTGATTTAGCCGTTACTACGTGGAAGACCATCGTGAAAAATGAGAAATAAAAAGGATAAAAGTCATTAACATATTTTCCCAACGCTTTTTTCCATTATTTCAAATGTTATTTGAAGGTCAACTGAATAAATTCTAATTCAAATCCCATTTGAAACAAAAGAAAACAATAAAATTACATATTTCACTAACTCCCTAACAAAATTTTATTAATCTACACAGGTGTGACTAGAATCAAGCCATATTTTTCATATGGCTTGATTCTAGAAAATATTGTCTTGTATTGACTGAGCAAATGAAAAAAGAACTTCTTGAAAAAAACAGACTAGAAATCAAGGCCACTCAAGTTGGACATCAATTTAAGAAACTCAATTGAAACAAAATTTATTTGAAAGACAAAATTTAAAGAATAATTGACCTATTCATATTCCACAAATTCAATTCAAACTTTCTCCTCAGAAACTACATGATTAGTTATTAAATTACTTAATAAATCTCCAGTGATATAAACATAACATGTGACAGAGTCCCGCAGGATAGTATTCTGGGCCCAATACTATTCATTATTTTTATCAATGACATCAGCGAGGCTACAAAAAATGTAAAGTCTGCTCTCCTTATCAACTATGCTGATGACACCAATCTCCTGCTAACTGGTGCCACTTTACCAGATATAATCAAGAATGGATGTGACGTAGTCAAACAATGCAAAGAATATTTTCTTGAGAACAAGTTAATTCTAAATGAAGGAAAAACTGACTGCCTCATATTTAAAACCAACAACAGTTTAGAAACGCCACATCACGTAATACTTAATAGTGAAAAACTTATTTGCAATACTTCAGTAAAGTTTTTGGGAATCAGCATTGATGATACTTTGAGTTGGACAATTCACATAGACAATATATGCAGTAGATTGTCTTCAGTAATATATGGGATAAGAGTACTTAAAAAATATGTTGATCTCGAAGTATTATTAACTGTATATTATCCAAATTTCTACTCAACCATGAGGCTAAGAATAACAGTTTGGGGTTCAAGTAATGATTTATGTAGAGTTTTTCTGTGTCAAAAAGAGTGGTACGAGTACTTTTCAATCAAAATTCTAGAGATTCCTGTAGGGGACTTTTTACGTCAAATACGTTGTTCACTGCACCAGCAGTATATATCTTTGAAACAATGAAATTTCTAACTGCTCACCCAAATCTTTTCGAGAAACCCACTTTCATGAAACAAGACATAAAAATGATTTTGCGTATCCCATTCACACTAAGGCATTGTATGAGCGTAGCACCATCTATCAAGCGATGAAATTCTATAACAGAATCCCCCAAAATATACGCAACATTGAGGTTGTAGTCAGGTTTCTGAGGTCATTGAAAGAATTCCTTCTCGATCAGGAGCCCTACAGTATTCAGGATTTTTTTTCAAAATGTGTAACAATGCAAAAGTTCCATTTGAATCAAATTTCTTTTGTCAAAAAATTTTAGTCCGTGTATGATATATCTAAAAAAGTGTGATTTATTTTAGTTTTTTTAGCATTTAACACTATATATTTATTTTTAAGCTCCTTGTGTGATTTTTGACAGTCCATATTTCCTGAAGTGTATGTAGATTTAAGATTTTGTATTTTGTTGACGTACTTTTACAGACAATTTCAGGGATTTCAAATCATTTTATATAGTAGACAATGGAAGTCCGAACTAGTGAAATTTAGAATTTTCCAGTATTGATAAATATGTCTTTCCTTACTGTTATGCATGAAAAATCCATTCATAAGCATCATATAAAATAAAAACGAAGAAAAATCTCAAAAAAAATTGTAAAGTACTCAAACTAGTCTGGCCGAAAGTTACCATTGAATCACTTAAAAATTCATAACTCGAAAAATTACAAGAAATCGTGATTCCGATAGGTCTTGGGGTCTCCTAACTAAAAAGAAATGTTTGGAAATCTCTGTTTCGGTCACCCTGTATATAAAGAAGAATTGGGTAGGTATAATTTAGTTTGTATTGAACACTACTCCTAACCACTACAGTTTTGTAAACTATTTAATGAAAGTCCCACAATAATGAGGAACCATTACCTAGGTAGAATTTTATGGTTTGAACACTCATCCCATACAGTGAAAATTTTTAAACTGTTCCATGAAAATCACATAATAATCTTCAATTAAAAAAATTATTACGGTAACATTCTATCGCGAACAGAAGTGTATTACATAAATTTAAAAGGGAATAGTTTTAGGAGAGATTCGTTTTATTGGAAAAATGGGTTGTGAAGTGTGTTATTTTATGTTACACAAATAAGTGTCTTGTTCATCAGGATACAAAGTATGATTTGATTTTGATTTGATTTGATATCATTATCATCATGTACTTGAACTATTCAGTCAATTATATAATTCAGATGGTAGCTGGGTAGTTAGCGTGAGTGGTTCGTTCTGCTCATCTCAATCAACTGCTATGTGAAGGCTGTTTTGAATCCAACTAAAGGATTCTGAAATGTCATTGCTTACTATCTGACCTGTTCTAGGAAGACCTCGTGTATCCTCAGCTTATGAGGGTTGTCGTTCGTCAAGGGGCGTCAACTGTTACAGATATAGTAAAAATGAATCTTTTTCAAATTTTTCTATAAGGTATATTATTTACGTACAACGAAAAAATATATTAGAAAAAATCTCACAATATAGGCAATTTGAAAAAATCAAATTCTAACAAATAAATTAACACCTGTTATTTGACAGCTGAATTTGGCAGGTTTTTTTTCTTAGCACCCACAGTAGTTTTACTTTTTTCTGTACCCGAATCATCATCCGAACTAGGAATATTTTTAGGTTTCCCATCCTCACTAATACTTTTACTTTCACTCCGACTTTTTCGACGTTGACTTTTATTGTCTTTCAAATATTCACTCAGTTGATGGAACCGGTGTTCCCACAACAAGTTTTGTTTTTGCACCAAATCAGTGTGTTTATTGATAAAATCCACATCACTGGGTAGAAGAAGTTCCCATTTTTTGTTTTCGAGCCGAAGACGGGAAATCCCTTCAAATATTCGCTTAATTTCTTCAGAAGGGATTTTCAGCAAGGGAGACACCTTTTTTCGTTCCACGAATTGATTTTTTGTAAATAAATACAACTGAAACAAAAGAAATATTTTAGAGAAACCTATAAAACCTATAAAAAATAATATTAAAAATGAGTATGTTACAAAATGATAATAGTAAAAGTCTAATCAAGCTTTATTGTGAAAATTGAATCAGTCTTGAAGCACCTCTTCTTCAAAAAAATCGATTTTCATTTCTCATCCAATTATCCTTTTGAAAAATATATCTTCTTCAACTTCCTCCTTGCATGAATACTTATTCATTGGATGGTATACTGTATGAAAACACCGTAGCTAATTTATTGACTAAACAATCTCACATCATTAAATTACATAAAAATACAGCAGACTAGGTACTAACAAGCAGTAGAATTGATACACAATATTAAAGGCGATTGAGTTCATAAAAAAAAGACAACATTTTTATTCTTGTATAGGAAATATTTTCTCATTAGATTAATTTTACTCCAGAGGTTCCTACTTTACTTTCACAATAAGTGAAATGACAATTATATGCAAACAATAACAATGAAAGTAATTAAAACAATAAAATAAAGAAGATACATTCTTTAAGAGTTTGGAAGATGATGAAAATTTAAATTTTGAGAATTATACAGGGTACACCTTTCTTTGGATCTAGATTGGAGTTTACCAAATATTTTAGACATTTTTATGGTCAGTTTTATGACTGGGATTTCACGCACAAAAGAATAAACAAACAAGAAATAATCATAAAAATGATTGCAATTGCTTGACCGGAATCAACACTTTCAATCAGGATCAGAATATATTTTATAGTCACAAGAATCAATTCTTGTTGATAAACTCTCTACACAGAAACAAAATAGAATACAGAGGCAATGAGTATAGAATTGTTGCAAAAGAATATTTACAATGAAAAATTAATGACAATAATGAGAAAATCGATAGACAAAACACCCTAATACGATTAAATGAAATATTCATAATTAGAAATTTTTACAATACAGATTTAATTTCCGATATGCGTTTCACTACGTAGTAACACATTCAGTAGAACATTTTTATTGAAAGTAAATTCAACAGTGGCGAGAAATTAACTTCTCGTCGGCCGTTCAATAGGAAATTTGATTGTTTACGCTAAATGATTTCCAAGAATTCCAGCAGGTTTAATTTTTTTCATTTATTTTCCGTAAATCATAGTTTATGTCGATGTCGTGATCATTTTCAATCAGATGGCATGCATGAAATGGTTTTCTTTGATTCGAAATTTCTTTTGTGCTCCGAAATTCTGGTTTTGAAATTTCTAGATGTTCTTCCAATATAAACTTCTAGACACCTGTTGTTGTTTTTTTATACAGTGTCATCCCCAAAATATGCACCATATGGGAAACTTATTTATTAAGGGTTTTTCGACAAAAAGTCATTCTTGATAAAAGTTTGTGCATCCCCTAGAACTAAACATGCACCAACAAAATACAGGACAACACACTTAATATACTAGGAGCCTTCAAATATTTGATTTCGTGACAAGAGTAAAGTACTCTTATTTAGAAAAATCTCGGAAAATGTTATTTAAAAAAGTTGTTCAGCATTGAAATATACATTTAGATTTGAAGTCATGGCCATCTAAGTGGAGTTTTACTTTTTTTCCCATTTTTTTAAATGGGGAATACGAAAAAAAATTACTCAAAATTGTACACTATTGTAACAAGAACTTAATATTCAATAATATCAAATCACAAAACATCAAAATAAAATAGATATTTTGAAACAAACTCATTGATTTCCTGGAGATTTTTTTGTCCAAATTAAGTGTTTTGAGTTGAATCTCCAGAAAATCAATGAGTTTGTTCCGATATTTTGTGATTTGATATTATTGAATATTAAGTTCTTGTTACAATACTGTTAACAAAAAATAAAAATAACTTTGCCCCAAAAACTTTGAAAATTAATTTACTTTTCAAAAAAATTGACCGTGGTTAACACCATAGTTGTGTAATTTGTAATATTACAGGCTTTCAAAATGAACCGTCGTATAAGGATGCTGTCTATTTATCGTTTTAGCAAAAATTTTTTTCGTAGTCCCAATTTGAAAAAAAAATGGCTAAAAAAATTAAACTTCACTTAGATGGCCATGACTTCAAATCTAGATGTATTTTTCAATGCTGAACAACTTTTATAAATAACATTTCCCGAGATTTTTCAAAATAAGAGTACTTTCCTCTTGTCACAAAATCAAATATTTGAAGGCTCCTCGTATATTACGTATGTTGTCCTGTATTTTGTTGGTGCATATTCAGTTTTAGGGAATGCACAAACTTTTATCAAGAATAACTTTTTGTCAAAAAACCCTTAATAAATAAGTTTCCCGTATGGTGCATACTTTGGGGATGACACTGTATGTCTACCTAAGATTTTATCAGTCTTGTATGCTACGTTGATGTTCTGTTTCGTTAATAGTCTACTTATCTTTTCTGATGTCTTTCATGTACTCGTATATGTCAGTGTTTTGAAAGTGTTAGTATTATCTTTAATGCGAGTGTACACGGCTTGTTAAAAATTCACTATTAGAAGCTTACAGAATATAGAATCCCATATTGAATTTGAAAAAGCAGTGAAGAAGCTTTTGCTAGGGAAAACCTATTACAATCTTGGAGAATAATTTGGAGATTTCTTGTGATATACTCATTCTATCAATATTTTAATTTTGTTATCAAGATTTTTATACAATTTAGGTCTTTTATACAATTATTTTAATGATTATTTGTGTTCACACTGTTTTTTACCTGACATTGTATATTTTACTGTACCACTCAAACTTTGTAACCATGATTTATTTTCTGCAAATGTATTATTTGAACTGCTATTCCAAGAAGTTACATATTATAAGACAACAATACTATTAGTCTGTCTAACCTAATGTCAGTATGAGATTTTTTCAAAAACTACACCTCACGATTTGTAATTTTTGAAAATACTATGGATCTTAATCAAGTAACAGCCGAATCAATAAAAAAACTAAGAGATTTTTTCAATTCACTCAATGAGTTTACAAGGGGATTCACATTATACTTATTTGTAGTATGGGAACCATGCAACTGAGGCATATTCCAGTGCTGATCTAACTGAAGAACAATATAAAGTTTTGAGGGCATTACATGAGAACTCTCTACCATTTCTTATTATAAATCCTAACATTTTGCTTCCCTTTGCAGAAACATTATTGAAGTGTCTTTTGAAGTTCAGTTATTGATCTAAAGTTATAATATAAAAAATAATAAAGGATATTTTTTGATTCGGAAAAAGTGATGATTATCATCATCATGTGTTCTCATTTCGTCAAAAGATAATCAAATCAGTTCAATAATGCTAAACCTTGTGGAAAGCGGGTTAGCATTATGAAACCGGATTTATCAAGTCATGTAAACACCTACTTCAAGAGGTGTAAGAATTTAGTGACATGAAAATACTCTAGAATCTGTTTTATTTAAAATTATCCTAATTGAACAGAATGAAACCTCATGCCTGCTCGATTGAGAAAGGCAAGTGGTAGATGAAATTAGATGGAAAAAGATTTAGATTGAACAAATAGGAATTTTTGAGACAACTGCATATTATAAGTTTTTGAATATAAGGCATTATTGATATGAATCTCGAAATAATATGGTCGCAAAAAGAAAGTATTCCTGCCATCACGAATGGTATTGCATCAGTTTTCAATTTTATACGAAAAATAAGCCCAAAAGAAGCCCTGTTCCCAAAGACCAAAACTGCAACACTCTTCTCGACGCGCGTTTCCCCAACCAAGTTGGCGTTTTCAGAAGTAGACTTCATCTCCAGGAAATGAGAAGAGTATTGCAGTTCTGGTGTTCGGGAACAGTGCTTGTTTTAGATTCATTCTATGCCGGAGGTTCTAGTTTCACTTTTCAGAAAAATAGGCTCAATCGTCTCATATGTCAAATTAACGAACAGTTATTCAAATTGTGATGTGTTGGCAATGAAGATAGTTAGGAACAGGTTTTATAAAAGTCACGCTTGATTTGTGTTAATTTTTTCAAGTTAATGGATTTGTGTTAGGAACCACACGTTAAAAGGTAAGACCTCGTTAATCCTTAGCTCACACAAGTTTTGACTTTTGAGGGTTGTCGTTCGTAGGGGTGCGACAGCTGGTTAACGAAAAAACAGATTTTAAAACAGATTTTTTTTTTGAACATTAGAACCCCGATTGTTATAAGAAATGTTATATGCTTGCATAACTTGTTCTATCTTATGAAATGAAAAAGTAGTTTTTTCACCACTTCATCTAACACTATCACTCTTATTGAAGTAAAGCACACATCTACCCAACAAGAAATAAAGCAGATTTGGTTACTAATATTCCTAATTTTACTTATATTCAGAAAAATATACCGTATACTCTAATAAAAATCTATAACAAACTTCCAAATGCACTAAGAAGCCTCTCTAAAACAACACTCAAAAATAAACTTAAAAACTTTCTTCTAAATAGAGCATACTACTCAACTGATGAATATTTTAAAGATACCATCCCTTCAGATTTTACCTGCTAAAATGTCTCACATTTAATTGATTTCAATTTTTAAATGTTTTTAACTGTATATTACACTGACATGTTCTACGCTCATCTGGGCATTTTACTTTATTGTAATTGAACAAATAATAAATAATAAATAAATAAATAAAATAAATAAATTTATGATTGAAGAAAATGTTTAGGTGACACGAGAAAAATGTTAATTTTTAAAAGAAAGACCTAATTTTAGAGCAAATTACAGTCAGATCTTGTATAAGATTTTTTTTATCCTTTGGAAAAGGAAGGTATGAAACACAATACTTTAGAATATTCAAGAACTGCTCTATTGAATTTGTTTTCCAACGATGAAAGTGATAATTAGTTGGAAAATTTTAAGTAAAGTCGATATAAGAAACCAGATAATATCATCAAAATAATATAACACAATTATTAGGTTTTGTTAAATCGTAATTTCTTTTTTATGCTCACCATTGTTTCATGTGCGAAAAAATGTTCATATCACATAAAAATAATGACAAAATGGTTGAGGCTTTCGTGGCCGAAGTTTTCAGAGTGAATATTCTTCGGATTTGAAAGCCGCAGATTTTTGGAATCTCTTTCTGATGTTTTGCTGGCGCGAGTGGCTAGCTTCTTCAGAGGTTTATACATATTAACGGCATGTAGAAAAAGGTCATCAGATGTTACTGACAATTTACCTAATCCAGATACAGGTGTTATCATACCAGACTACCTGAATCAACCGAAACACGCTTTACAAAATTTACCTAAGCCAGGTACAGGTATTACCACATCAAACTACCTGAGGAGTCATCATAAGTGTGCTTTACGTAGCCGTAATATCCAGTCATTGGGGATTTTAACTCAAGATGTATAAAGCACTGAAGAAGCTAGCCATTCATGCCAGCGAAACGTCGGGAAGGCATTCCAAAAATCCACGGCTACTTTGATTTTTCTGTTTTTTAATTCCACTGCTTACTCTGCAATACTTACAACATAGTCCCTTGCTCTGCACATAGACTCTGCTGGAACTCCACAAGTGGCAGAAAGTGTATTAGCGGGGTATAGGACTTCAGATTTCACCACCCAGTTACCTCTAACCAGATTTGCTACATTTGGGAGAGTTTTCAACAGGACGTCTGCGGTAGGCCCTCCTGTTAGCAGCAGCAGGAGTTGTTGAAATTGAATGATTTGAGCTACAAGAAAAAAAAATTTAAAAAAAAGATATAAAATAAAAACAAATGAATTGGAATACATACCATCCTTCAACAGTAATCTACATTGTTCTAAAACAGGCAATTCCCTTAAGGCATGAAGAGAGAGCATGTGGGATGGTAAGGAAGGTTCCAAAGGTGTCTTTTCTTTATTTTCTGGAATTAAAAGCTTTATATATTCAGAATCAGTAAGGTAATTTGCTTGAACTGTGTCCTCTGTGTTATCCGATATTAATTTCAGCCTTTCCACCTAAAAAAGAATGCTGTCAAATTGGAAATTTTACTATATATGATTTTGTAGGTGATATAAGTATTTACTTAGTTATCTTTCACAGGTTAAACCATTTGTAAATTTTCAGATAAAATTCAGATCAACAAAAACATTAATATGTCTCTACGAAATCAAACTGAACCTATTCTTATTAAAGACATTAAATGAATGGTAAAATATCATAACTTAGAAAAATTAGTTGCAGGGGTAACTTTTCTATTCAGTGGTATGATATTACCATTTAGAGTGTTAAAGAGAGTGAAGATCAGCAGTAAACACTGAGGTATATACTAGTTATTTATCACTTTATGAAAGAAAAAGTTCTCAGAATACCGTCTGCAGTCTTCCAGACTGGTCAAACTGAAATGTTCCCTAACCTCACCAATACTAAGATGCAGACCTCTCTATGCTATTCTACACCCCCAGCACTTTGAAAAATTTCATCTGTATACATTTTTATTAGACTTACTTATTTTAGTGCGCTGATCACAAATATGAAATAAAAACTTGGTGTTCTACTGTACTTTAGAAAATACGACCTCTCGAGAATCGAAACTGTTGAAAAATTGACTATTTCAGGATGTCACTGGGTAATAACTAATAAAATAACATCTTTTCAGAATTGCATGCTGCGAATCCTAATTCACTTGCCTCGCCTTTCATTGTTTTTCCGTACAAAGCATTAAATTTCCTGAAAATTGTATCTTTTCTGGCAACCACAACATACTCGTTTATGAAACTGAATGACAAATTTTGAAAGGACTTTTTGCATTATTTCTGTTGGCAGAGGTACAACACTGAACAAGAAGTGAATGCGATATTGAATTTATACGGCCATTAAAAAAAATAAGGAACGCCACCTTCTGTTTTGTAATTTAGAATATGCCTTCTACAATTGTATCTACTTTTATAGTTTGTGTAGTGTTTCCCTTTGTAGAAATTGTAATTTTTTGTAGTAATAAACAAACACATACCTTCTTCTAGAGTAAAACTCAATATTTATGAAATTTGACAACATAATTTTTATTTCATGACTATAACTTTTCATCATATTGCCAACAAATAAGCTATGAAGCTTGCGATTGTGAAAAGGAATCATTTAACAATTTTTCATTACCAGAAGTTCGTATCGCCAAAAGTGTACCGAAGCACCAACTTTTGACCTCAAATTCGTGATCAACGAACAAAAATATATAGGGCTAATACAATTTTTTTTTACAGGCTCTAGAGAACTTAATAATACTGATTGATGATAACATACATTACTTTGCACACTATTCTCATTATGCCAGGAACATTCAATCCAAGGTTCTTCAGCACTCCTATCTTTCAGTGTTTTGTAACTGTTCTCATTTTTTTTCCATCTTTCATCATTAGATTTGAACTTTACGGTCACTTTTTCTACAGTACTTGGTCCAGCCTCTTCATCAGAATCATTGGTATCCATAGTTTTTTTCCTTTTTAATCCCTTTTCCATATAGGGAAAAGTTGGTCGAAACTGAAATGCATCTAGAAGCAATTGAGAACTGCGAAACTATGTTATCTTAGAAAATATTACCTTTGAGAGCTGTAAGATGAATTTCTCTACCATTGTATACAGCTGCTGCATATTTATTAGGGTCTTCAATAGGTCTAGTAGATTGTAAGAATACTTTATCAACAAGACCACTTTCAAAATATTTTTCATTTGGATTGTTAGTATTCCCATCAACTTCCTCTGCTATGAACTCAGCTTTACCACTATCGAAATTTGGGGAATCAATATCAATGCCTAATTCCAGTTTAACTTCTCGATTTTGTGGTTTAATGAAACATTTCCTAATATTGTGTTGATTTATGCAAAAACTACTTTTCAGTGGATATTGGAATAAATGTAAAGTTTCCTCTAGCCGTGTTGAATGAATTATCGGAATCTACAAGTCGAAAGAAAAAGAATTTTCAATCAAGCAAAGATAACCTCAAAAAATTGGAAAAAATACCTCTCTAACAACAGGATCATCTTCATCAGATTCCATTCCATCCATTCGATCACACATTCTTGTGTGCAATTGTATATCTTATTTATATTTTCTATTTACTTTTTCACTATAAATTACAAACTATTTAAAATACATATTCCAACTGTTTGTATAATGTTATCTCTGATCTCTGATCCATAGCTATAAAATCTAATCACAACACCAGAAACTCTGACAGGAGACAAAAGTAAATAATAAGAATGGACATGCACTTGCATACTCGGTTCGAAATCTTAAAATTTGTTCTTCTTTTAGATGTGTTCGACATTTAAGGTCATTTTCCCAGTTCCAACGACATGTCCCGTCCTTTGACAGCACTTTGCCACTTCCGTACGATCATGTGTATATAACTCTAGATTTGCTACAAATCAGAGAATTAATAAAAAAAATGCCTGTTCATTGGTCACTTGTCATCCTTTCTATTTTGTGATTCTACTCTCAAGGACTAAACTCTCTGAGTTTTTGTTTTGTTTCTGGGTATTCTTCTATTTCTACAGTTGCTTTTCGGGTTGAAGCTCCATTGAGCGGATATGACGGTTACAGGGTTTTGGATGCAATTAACAGTTTTTTCTGGAAACCTCATTTTAAAATGAATGGAACAGTTGGAAATTGATCCCCATAGTTGAGATAGAGAAAAATATTAATCTTTCTGTCTATAACGTAATTGAAAAATTCTGACTTGAACTCGGAATTCAGACATTTTTTGAACTTATCTCTTGAATCTTATTTTATCTATTGTATGTGAAAGAAATATAAATCTGTTGAAGAATCTGTTTTTTTTACCAGCTGTCACTCCCATACGCAAGACAACCCTCTGAAGTCCCCTGCAAGCTAATGATAGACAAGGTCTTACCTTCAAACGTGCAATTCCTATCATTTTGAAAGGTAAATCTGAGTTTAAAGTCCAAAATATAAAAAAGAGAGCGTACCCCTTTCTTCTACTCTTATGGACATCTGTTTAAATGGAAATAAAAATACAAAAGTTCTCAATGATTTTACCCTTGTTTTTGAACCCAATCTCCAATTTGAATTTTTTCTGGTATTAATTGTAATTACCAACATTTTCAACCTCAGATTCGTATGAAAATATAGTAAGTTTTCACATTAATTAACAAAACATCAATATTACAACTCCACCTTGATAAGGAAGTCTTCTTTGAACATGTTATCATGTGCTATATGGAGGGTTAGTTGAACCGTGTACCTTTACAACTGTCGTATCGATGCTCTTTCCAGCAAGGAAATATCGAATATGAACCAGATGAAACCCTTCAAAGCCAAGGCACAGACAAGGTATAATAATGACCCGAATTATAACTAAAACGGGAATGAAAAACCACAGTAAACAATTTGAATTGGTCATGATATAAATTATTTTATTCAATATCAATATTCTTCACAACTTCATATGAATAAAGCCAGATGCGATCGTATTTGAAGCATTTCAATGAGGCTTCTTCCTGAGAATAGTACAGCAAACGTGTCACCATAGGCAGCACTAGCAGTAAGGACAAACAATAAACTATTCACATGTCACATGTAAAACAGTGTTATTTACGTAATATTAATATATTATTTAAAAATATAAATCTGATATAAAAAATTATTTTGTGCTAGTATGATGCCAGCAAAGCATTGTTGTTTTGCGAATTATACGTCGGATAATCGATATCCGGAAAAAAACGTGTTTTTTATACCATTTATAAAACCTCATAATAATGAGGTTATATGTAAGAAATAGATACATGCTTCGAGGAGAGTGGATTTAACAGTGCAAAAAATGAATAAATATTTATATGTATGCTCTAAACATGAAATAAATAGTAAACTTTTCATAGTTAATTACCATCGATTAGAATGAGATATAACCTCAATCGTTTATTAAATTATATTCATTATATTTAATTAAATTTATTTCATTACCATCTATATTTGATTCATATTTCAGTCGGAAATAAGTCTGAAATTCATAATTATTTTAAATTTCTTTCATTACAGTTTGAATCTACCGCTACCCGTTTACTAGAGTATGTATATACTAACACAGCTTACTTAAAGTAAGCTGTGATACTAACATGTCTATTAATTCACTTTTTTCCAGTTACTTTTAAATTACGGCATGCAAGCCAACGTTTTAATGTTACAACATTGTTATCCTTTACAGTTGCAAATTTTAGTTTTGTACCAGGAACATTTTCTTCTATTGAAAACATTCATTTTTAATTCCCATACGTTTATATGAGGATTAGGCAGTGTTTGTCCCTACCGAACTACTAGCGCTGCTAGTGAGTGATTGTTCGTACTTCAGGGAAAAGGTTCATTGTTTTAAAGAATAAAAATACGTACGTCATAGAAAACATTAACCAACTTAGCTATTCAATCTTTCGGAATAGCGATAATTCGGGTTTGCTATGAGGGCAATCACAAAATTTTTTGCCGTGAGACGGCGCTGATAGGAATGAGGTCAGTTCTCGTGGTTATTTCCTCATTTACATTCGGATAAAATAAATTTATTTTAATCATGCGACGAGGAGTTAAACACTATTTTTAAGGAGGTAGGAGGTAGACTTGCGATACAGAGGTACTACAGCATAGTTATAACTTATTTCTCATGTATGCTATCAGAAATAATGTTTGTGAATGTTATTGGTATTACCATTTTTGAAATATATGAAAACAAAAGTGGAAAAATATTTGAAAGAATGGTTGACAATATAAAAAATACCACGACCAAAATATTCCAATGAGCTAGTTGAGAAAAAAAGATATAAAAAAAATATGTGAAAAACATTATAAAGAACATGTGAACAATAAAAATTAAGAACAAATAATGAGTTATATATTATTATACTTTTGATGACTAGATATATAAGTATTAGGATAAGGAACACAATAGTGTGTTTAGATCTTCATGTGTTTGACCAGTGCAGCCGTGTGAAAAGCCAAAGTAATGTTTATTTGGAAGTATAAAAACATTAATTGATGGTAGCATTATTATTCATAATTTCAATCATAACGATTGAACTTTTGACTTTCAGTGTGATTCTAGAGGATCTTGAGAGGGACAAAGAAAATATACCATGTATTAATGAATTGAATGACAGGAATTTTTCCACGGAAATCAGAGAAAGCTTTCCGTTTTCCCCAGAAAAAGCAAGTAAATGATGAGATTCTGGAAGGCGAAGGACATAATGAGGATAAAAAAAACATCCGGAAAATGAAAAATAGAAAATCGTTACAGAAACGAAAGAAACCTGGGAGGCACCATAAGAAACTCACAATGAAAAACGTCTGTCTTTGAAAGTTACATATATAAAGGATAATGGCAAATCACTACGTATACCGAAAATGAAAATGTACTTTTTATAAGTCAGATGATTTTGAATGGAATTTGGAAATTCAGAAAAATATTTTCATTCAAGAACAAGTAGATAACAATTTTAACGATAACGAAGCACTCCGGAAATGGAGTAGTCTGAAACACATCATCGAAAAAAATACAACGAAACTTGAGTAAAATCCGTATAAAAACCGTTAATTGTATGATTTTCACTATATAGTGAAAATCATACCATTTATTGTATGGTTTTTACTATATAGTAAAGCTACCATATTAGCGTAACGCGAAAAGAAATAAAAAACGTTGGTGAAAATCGTTTAATCATTATCATGGATACTGGCTAGGCGGTTCGACGCGGGTCCTTTGTTTACTCACTCGAATTGACTGCCGTGTTGGTCGGTGGTTCAAGCCCTAGTCTGAACGATCGATTTTCACTTGCTATCGTACAACCCGTTCAAGGAATCACACGTTAAAAGGCAGGACCTCGTTAATCCTCAGCTCGCACAAGTTTCAACTTCTGAGGGTTGTCGTTCGTAGTGGTGCGAAAGCTGGTTAACGGAAAAACAGTCAGTCCGTTCATAATTTAAAAATTTGGGGAACCTAGACATAATAGCGTACCAGAAGTAGATGCATCCCATAGTTATATAGAAAGATACATAGAAAATTTGGATATTTGGAGTTCCCTGGCTCTCCTCTGGCACATTTTCAAAATTCCATAACTCTGAAAGTTAAAAATTACAAAAATTTAAATGATCCTTTAGGATTATTTGAACTACCACATATCCTCAGGAAGATATTTTCATAATCAGACACCATACAATAAAATCAAACATCTTGAATAGGCAAAAGCTTTCATTTTAAACATAAAATTTAGGAATCACTTTGAAGAACCTTCTAATGAAATTAAATTATGTTACATCAAGAGTGCCAGAACTCAAGACATTATTTCGTTCTTACAAACAGTTTCACACGAAAACCTCACGCCAACAATTTCCGAGTCGAAGAAAAAGCATTTGGGTGAATTGCTACCTGGGTGAAATGCCTGAAAATGAAATAAATTTTCAGTGGTATCAATATTTCTGCACTACAAAGGATGATATCGGAGCAAAAAAAAATGTGACTAAGAAAGTTGCAACCGAATCGACGGCAAAGAAAAATGTTAGGAAGAATGTTAGAGAAGAAGGTTAGAAAAACAAAGTAAACTGGAAGTGATGGAAGGAAGAATCTGGATACATCTGAATGAAATAAAAAAGAGAGAGAGAGAGAGAGAGAGAAAATACATCTCAGAAAAACAAAAATGTGACGAAACCAGTGAAAAATTGAAAAAGATGGATGTTAGGAAAGGTTTATCGAGAATTGAAACTGAGGAAAATTCGTTTCTTATCTGTCCACAATGTTGGCCAGTCTGTCATTCTATTCTTCAAAACTACTGTGCAATAAAAAAATATTAGTTCAGTTTGAAATTTTAGTTAAATTACTTTGAATATCACATCTAAGCTCAACACTATGTAACTTTTACATAATAAAAGCAAGTTGAATACATTTACGCCTTTGTTTTTGAATGATATATGGATATATCCTATTTATAAACCGTATACATTATATTTTTATTCAATTTCAATTATGAGTTAACGTAGATTTAGGTTGAGCTCCATTCAGCATATATGTATGGCGTATATCCCCAAATAAATACTGAATTTGGTAAAAACAGATTTTTGGTCTTTATCCAAAACCACTTTGATGAATTATAAAGGACTGCTCGGAGAAGCCGAGTTATACAAACGAAAACAAAGTTTCAGTTAGGAATTTTCGAAAATATTCGGCAGTGTTTGTTATTTATCTTTATTGGTAGTGGTGTGACATGGCTCAAAATATAATGAATTGGTTAGTATTTGCGACAAATAAATATCTAAATATTTTTAGTTTGAAGCCAGAATCTCCAAGAAACAAATAATGAAAATACGCGGCCCTTCTGCGCTTCCGTAGGAACACGATAACTTAATTGGTAAAAATTCAAAACAAAAAAGAGATGCAAATACCGTTATCGAAGTTTCCCCTCCCAAACACGAGAGTCAAGTTGCAATGGGAAACATGCTTATATCTTAAATTTCAAAATATTTTGATTTCAACAAGTACATTATACTCCCCCAATGAAGCTGTGAAAACTGCTTGGAATTAAAAATATAACTTTCATTAATGCAAAATTTTAAATACCGAATTCTCAAACCCGCCAAGAAAACGTATCCTGAGCGGTACAGAGGGTGTTTCAGTTGTTGAAATTTGATTACCCGATGCTTTTCTAAGATTTGAGTGTATCATTATTGGTGATCAAGAGGTAGAAAGTAATTTTCCTATTATTTTGGACAGTTCATCATTACTGTTATTCGAATTCAAGGTCAAATCAAGTTATAATCAAGGAAAGAGAAATGAAACTTTCTATGTTTTTACCACCTTTATTTGTAACTGACGTTACTGCAGTTTCTTCCTACACGGACATTTTCAAACTTATACAATAAGAGTTTATTGTATGAGTTTGAAAATGTCCATATAGGACGAAACTGCAAGTGGTAAAAACAGAAAATTTCATTTCTCTTTTCTTCATTATGATTTCCTACCACGTAGTAACGGCTACATCCATCAATTTATTCATGTTCTAATTGTTGGCTATTTGTAAGTTTGAATATTTCAAAGAAAAAAATGGGAACATTCATCTCATTGTTCAAAATATGTGAGGACCTCGTCAATTTTTTTAAAGAATACAAACATACATGCGTGTTCCCTATTGACTTGACTTTTTTTGGGTTGGGGCAGGTGATGCTGAATATTCTACTGATGATGAGATTTCAAGATGTTGAAATTTTACGAATCCACTGTAGTTTTAGTGTGACACTACGACAACACTACTTTTTCCAATGGAACATACTACAAGTTTACTTTTTCACTTTTTCGTTATTGGCAAAATCTATTTGAAATATACTTATCTTATATGCTGACTTCGTTGGCACTCCTGATTCAGGTTTCGCAGCCGCAGTCGCAGTGTAGTTAGTTGCACTGGTTGTAGCGATTTAAGGTGTTTATTTGGATTATCAACATCAAATAAAAATGTTTATTGATTTTAACTGCTTGTGATACTAAAATAGAGCTGTTATGTTTATTTGTAAAAGATTTATTTAGTGTTGAAATATCATTTTAACACGATTACAGTTCATTTTTTGTAAAAAATTCGGCAAAATGGCAGATGAAATAAGCAATCAGTCCAATCAAGGTATTTGTTGTTATTTGTATATAAAATACGGAATATGTAGCAGAAATATTTTCAAACCTGACAAAAGCTTTTCATTGTATTGCTCAAGAGATTGTAGCATCCATTGCATAATGTATGTATCAGGTACGAAGTCGAGTGGATTATTTTATTCCTAACAAATGGATAATTCTTAGTAAAATAAGATGGGGATGAATCAGATAAATATGTTCACGATGTTAGGGTAACCCAAGGTTCACTTTTAAGGCCATTGATTCTGGTTTTTTTCACTCTCATGAACTCCCCTTTGAATAATAGCAATGAGCACTTATGTCTCATGAATTTTCTTGATGATACAAGCCTTGTACTTGATACCTGAATACCTATGATCATGTAGGTTGAAATTGATTTTGATGAAAAGTTTTTATTTCAATAAACTCCTGATGAATGCAAGTAAATCATTAAGCAAGTTTTGTTCTGACATGGAACTTGGTGGGGTAGATATTTAAAATATTGTCTGATGTTCACATTTATTACTTCATTAAAAAAAAAAACTTCAGAGTCCTTTGTTTTTTAGCTGCTCGAAGACCGATTATCAAAGCAATGGAATTGTCACAAGCATGCAATTCACCTCCCTTCTCTTTTCGACCACTATCAGGTGCAGATAAAGTTGGAACAGCTTCTACCCCCAATCGTCCTAAGATGAGTTTACCTAGTGTCACAAAATCTAAAGAACCTCCATTGGTTTATCGGTAAGCAGAAATTATTTTATTAAAATCAATCATTACGTCCTAGGCTATCAATCTCGAATTTTTGCAATTATTAAGGCCTTGGGTAAAATTTACAACAGCTTAATGTGAGTTACCTACTCTTGTAACTTATTTAATTAATTTTGAGGATACGCACTGTGTATAGGAAAAGCTATAATAATCAAGTTTGATTTAGAACAACTCTGATAGTATGTACTAATAATTTTGATACAAATTTGGGACTGTTTTCACTTTATTGTCCTTTTTTAAATAATTATATATGCACATATTCGAGATTGTTGTCTTTATAAATTTTGTTCAAAGCTCTACATTACATTCTGTTTGATATTCACAGTAATCCTTCAACACAAAGATCTAAATCAAGGTAAAATTTGAAGTGTTTGTGGACTGTTTTGCATGTTATATTTAACTAGCTGATAACAGTTTTAAAAAGTGTGATCTGACTGACTAACTTCAACTGGCGGTTTTTATAGTAGATTTGTATTAATGTAGTAGTAGTTACGAGAAATACTTGAACCATCAACAAATGCTAAATTTGTTTTATTAGGAACACAACGCACCTCTGGTTATGTGTATAAATTTTGTTCACAACACCAGACTTGACAAATTGGCATCATTAGGTGAAGAATACAATTAATTGTCATTAATAATCATTAGGTATTAGCATGCCACCATCTGGAGACCATTTATAGGTCATTATGTTTTCCCCTACATGGTAATATTCAGAAAAACTAGCCTCTTGTATATTGGACCTCTGTCATTGTTCATACTATTCATGGAACACAGTTATTTCTGTTTTTTTATCGTACCATGTTCACGTAAAATAGTTGTACATGCAGAAGTTATAATTACTGTAATTGTAATTGAAAAACTTTAAATTTCAAAGTGTTTAATAAAATATTTTAGTGTTTGTTCAAATAATACCTATATCTAGTGTACGTAATATTGTCTCTTATCAATATAGTATAGGGCACCATCTTATGGGAAAGAGTGGATTTAAAAGAATTACTTCAGTGGTTCCAACAATGAAATCTAAAACCCAAATACTACTTAGTACTTATCGAATATGGTCTATTGACTCAATTAAGCAACATCACTCTTCATTCGCCACTTTAGTAATATCGATAATGGCTCTAGTAAACAATTTTAAGCAAATTTCATAAATATGGCTGGGTATGCGTTTGGTTCACTATCTTTAGTTGCATTCAATTTTAATAACGGTTTGAAATTTGTTGTCTTGTTATTTTTTCAAAATTAATAAATATTTCATAAGAGGGTCCCAGTAGAGGAGACCTGTGGAATTTGTAAACACATTTCCGAAATATTACGAAAATTGTTTACACAAAGATATATATAATCATTAAAGTTTTAATCAGCAAATTTCATTTGGTTAGATGTTTTGTTGGAAACAAATGAAAAAGATACTTTTGTATTAGATTTCTGGTTGTGTTCCGAAAACCTGACATACCTCTCATAGTCTTGCTTGGTGCAAATTTTTACGTTTTTTCTCAAAGTTGAAAAACTTAATAGTCTCTAGAATGATTGTGTAATATTATTATAAAATTTCCATTTTCATCTCGCATATCAATTTAACTTTATCCTTCGAAAACCATTGTGCATATTTAGATTTTTTACAATTTTTTTGGGGAATAAGTCTATTCTAATAAATATACATTTTTCTGTGTATCATAAAAGATTTGGACTAACTTGTCAATATTAACATTTTCAAGAATAAGAACATTGTTTTTGTGACTTTGGGGGAAAATAACAAAAATGAAACTGACAAATCAGTCGTTTCCCCTGTATTCGATTTTGAAGTATTCTACTTTTTCTTTCACCATTCATCAAAAAGTTGCCAATATCCTGTTCATTTCACAAAATATAATTGTTTAATTTTTCTTTGTTCAAGTATCAGAATATTTACTCAGTACATATGGTAAATGACATAAGAATGATAAAAAATGTCATACATTTAAATATACTATAACGCAGTTTATTGAAGGACTGATATATTCAAGTTTGTTTACATTTAATTCACATGAATATTAATGTCAGGCTTTAAATGTTTGACAATTTTTAACGATGATCAAATCAAATAAAATTTATTCATCACCGAAGTCCATACAAATGTGTAAAAGACACATCACATAAACTTATTGGACTAGTCATAATAGAACCTACAAGCTACAACAATACAAATACAAAATAAGTATATATTAAAAGTCAATAAACAATAAAAGGTACAAAAATACAAACATAAAATAAGTTATATATTGAAAAGAAGTACCATCTGTTCATAAATGAAGGAACAATTGTACAATCACAGAACATTAAAATAACAGTACATTACTGATCGTAACAATGTAAGATAATATAATAATGCACATACACTTACATAAAAAATTCATCTAAAGAATAAAATACATTTCCTTCCAAGTATTTGTGAAGAGCGTTCCTGAAGCAATTTAGATTTGACAATTCGTGAGTTGAACCAAACAGTTCCTTAAAACGATTAAAACACCTTATACCTTGATAAATATAACAGTTTTGCCCAATCGTTAGTCTGGAGAAAGGTTGACGTACCTTTTCACGCTTTCTAGTTGAATATTTGTGAATAGAACTACTTGATAACATTGAAGCTTCTTGTTTTTTTATATTTACAGTAATTTGCATTATATGCATTATATGCAAAGTAAATGCAGTGTAAGAATTTGTAACTGTGAAAATAACTGTTTACATGAAGTCCTCGGATGAGCTCCCACCATGGAGCTAATAATTTTTTTCTGCATGACAAATATTTTATTCACATTTACACATAAACTAGTGTAAACTATAAACTTCTTTGCCTTTTTTGTATTGCAGATTTAATTTCAACAAATGATTAAATACCTTTCAATTCATTCATGGTTATAGTAACACATAATACTGCAAATTAAAAACCTGGAAAAAAGTTTTGACAAAAAAATTAAAAACAATTTTAATCATGATACTCAATACTTCACTATACAATTACTAAGGTAGAGTCTGAAACCGTTGAACTGTTTCTTACATCACATTTTTAGTCACCTAATATATAGTTGTGTATCAGATCTCACTTCTTTCATGAATATGTGTTTCCCCTATTTGTGTTTAAGATGGAAATCTTGTATGTATTTTCCAGATTCTCCAAAAAATCCTTGTGATTTTGCGGTTATATCAGGCTTCTAACACCATCGCCTGTACAATAAACATCTCTTTTATTCTGAAATGATGGGTTTTGTCTAGGATGAGAGCCAGTATCTATGTAGACTATTTTGGCCCAAGTCATTTATTTTTGAAGTCTGAATAATGTTCCTACTGTACTCTCTGCAATTTGAACTTTTTGCCTTTGTGGTTGATGAAGCTTCATTGCTTTGAGCATTGGTATCACATTTTTGTGAAACCTTATTTTCATCCTATCATTGAGGAGTTTCACTGTGGATCTGTCAATTTTGAAGATGCTTCTCAATCATTCCTTTTGTCAGCAGTTCATCCATTCACGAACTCAGGTTAAGGTTCTCTTAAGTCAAAATTGTTATCATGTACCTTCTTGAGCATGTCTGAAATGCACTTTCTCGGTAGAATGATCTGAAACTTGTGAACTTGTGCATGGGTCATCAGTTCACTGACTCCGGGTCAGGGTAAAACTTCAACCACAGCAAGTAAGGTCAAACAACTCCCTGTTGGGGCTGTTCTCAAAAAAATCCTCTGCTCGATCTCAAAGCTCCATCCTATCGTACGTGGCCACATTTTGACGTCTTGACAAGTGCAAGACATATTCTTGGATTTTTGGGATGCTCCATCAATATTTCTGTGTAATTGATGACTTGTTTATTTTGTGGAAATTCTTGATCACTTCAATGAAATGATAATGGGATAAAATCTTAAACCGGGTTGGACTAACCAGTGAACCTTACTGTACATGGCCTGAATGTAGTTCCTCTGAAATACGACATTCTGGTTCAAGTAGACTCTTGAGCTAGTTTCATCTCTCAACGTGTCAAGTAAACATTCTATAGTCCCATCTGAGATATATATCTTTGCAACCTTATACATATTAGGAGCCTTTCTTTTGTACTAGATCCAACTTTATTTGACAAATAGTTTCTTTATGGCTGTCTTCAGATCAGCTTTTATCTTATTTTTCACTCATATTTTATATTTGAGATAGGGAGGGAGACATCCTTTGCCTCTTCTCAACGCTCAAAGCTTGATGACGGTCTGTCTCGAACGCCATAGACGAATCTCTGGACATTGTTGTGACGAATGAAGTTTTCAGAAGTATTTTGATAAGAAATCTGACCATATTTTCAATATTTCTGCAGATTCGGATGATTCTTGAGTGTTTCAATTAGGTCTACTAAATTTATTTACAGTCACATACATGTTCATTAATCAGATCTCAATTTTTCCATATCTCTCCATGTGTTTGTTTTAATCTAGAACCTTGTCTCAAAAGAATCCAAACGTTGATAAGTTGCGATTTTGAACTTGTCAGGTTTATTTATTCATTTATCGGTCAAGTACACTACAGAATTTTTATAAAATCCCAAATGGTACATCAAGAAAGTTTCAATCGTTGGAACCAGTCAAGCATTAGAGTTCAGTCATGAACCCAACAAGTAAAATCCTAAATATAAACTAATGTAATTGCTTAAAAATAAATAAACCTATTTATTTATTAGTCCAATACACCACAAACTATTAATAAAATACCAAATGAAACTTAAAAAAGAAAAAATATTAAAAAGACAAGAATAATCTTAAAGACATTCAACACTAATGATCAATTAAATTATAAAACAAAAACGTAACTATGTCAAGTACATTACAGAATTGTAATTTTCTTAATGTTAACTTTTAGACAATTAGTATCACAGTAGGTACAAAAGCTATCTAGGTCATTCTGAATACATTCAATATCATTGGTAGATTGCATTGTTTTGAAAAAGTTAAGGTCGTCCGCATACAGAGAGATATTACAGTGTTTAAACACTGATTTAACATCATTAATAAAGAGTAGAAATAATATAGGTCCAATATGCGAACCTTGCGGAACCCCTGAAGTCACATGAATTGTTTCTGACACACTGTCAGCTATCCTTCTTTATAACAATAGTTCATTACTATTTTAATATATGGAATCCCTGACCATATTCAAAAGGATGATGCAAAATTTCAAACTGAAGTTATTTCCAGCAGTAGCTTTATGAGTGGCAACTAAATCAAACCTTGTTTGTGTTTTAAGAAATCTTTAGATTGATCCTTACAATTTTTTTACTGCAGTAGAAATTGAATTTTGTTACGTTTCATTGGTGGGCAACATATATTTTTCCAACATTCAGTAAGAAACATTAGTAACCAAATTCAAACACAAACAATTTTCTATTTCATTTACTAAACTCTTTTCTAGAGAAAACAAACTCAAACCCTGCCCTCCGATGACATCAGTTGGAAAACTTCAAATAGAAGGGTTAAGTTACGATTTCACGTCTGAAGATTTACAAGATCTGGGAGAAATTGGCAGAGGAGGATTTGGTACTGTCAACAAAATGATTCACAGAGCAACAAATACTGTTGTAGCTGTAAAAAGAATCAGATCGACGGTTGATGAAAAGGAACAGAAGCAACTGTTGATGGATCTGGATGTGATAATGAAAAGTAATGAAAACAAATATATTGTACAGTTTTATGGAGCTTTGTTCAAGGAGGTAAGGATGAAACCTTTGATTCTTATCCTAGTTGACTGGTGAATTCTTTGTGAAATATATTTCTTCAGCGAATACATTTTTTTGTCACGGGTTACATTATCATTATTTTGTTATTAATATA